TTTAATTACTTGATCAAGGTGGTCACCTGCTAGATTTCTCTATTGTAAAGATATCTTTTGCTGTTCACTGCTCCACCCCCTGCATTTTTTTCTTCAAGTGAAAGTAGGTTATTTGGGAGATAAGCCCAGGACGTAGCGGCAGAGAAGTGAGATGGGAAAGAAAAGTCATTCAACAAAGATATGTCGTCAAGCCAGTTACCACTGGTGGGCAACTAACCCTAATGTCACTGGGGGATCTCTGGCGCCAGTGTAGAACTCATGTTCCACAGCATCTCACAGAAAGGGTGAGAATATGGGCTCTTTACACACCAACTCCTGTCAGTCATTGTTTGAAGCTCCTCCCAAGGACATCAGTTCTGTGGTGCGTTGGAAGCATTAACAGGTGCAAAATGGGCCCTGAACGCCAAAGGATGCCTTTAGGTAAAGATGAAGATGTTGGCATTTGGAAGTTAGGCCAGGGTGCCCTACTGTGGTAGGAGCTGAAGGGAAAATTGGCAGAGCATTCATAGTGTCTGCTGTACCTGGGTACCCCAGAACCTGGAGCTTGAGGCAAAAACTTGTATGCCATTATGTTTTCAGGAAGTGCACTTCCAGGAAGCAGAAGTGAGGGAAAGAGGAATGGAGAGATGGAAGATTAAATCAGTTCTGGGGTACATTTCCAAGCTGGCGACCCCTTAGTAACAAGTATACAACTGATTGCTTGATTTCCTAATGCTGTCTCCTAGGAAGATGTGTAAAGCACTGAATCCCAGGACAATCCACCCAAACGAAGGAGATTTGCCCCTTTGCTTCTGTATCTCATTGGTAAAAGCTTTGCTCCATGGTACATTTACTCCCCAAAACTCTCAGATTGTGCATGTGCATCAGGTGGGTCCCCCATGGAGGTGAGAGGCATCTAAAGTGAGCAATTGGGTTGTGCCTCTGTGTAGTTGGTTAGAACCCATGCATATCTGGTCTGCCTCATCAGCTGGGATGGAAAAAAGTAACCAGGGACCTCAGACAGGCAATGCCAGGGAGGCTTGAAGTGCTGCTGCATAAAATGCACTTGATACATTTGGATTCTACTTTTGTTAAACAAATATACACTTACATACACATAAAACACATACACAAACATAATCACTTATAAAAGTATAACATTCATCTCTTGCTGGTGGGGATCCAACGAAAGTTTATTTCCACCCATATTTTCTGATATGTGATTGAAGCTTTCTATAAAAATATATTTTAATTTTATAATAGGAAAGTAGTCATGGACAGTTTAGAAAGGAAGGCAGAGCAGTAAGCATTTTTTCAAAGTAGAAACTGGGAAAAAAGTGATTCCATGCTTTATTTTATGGGCAGAGGCAAGGATTGTCCTTTTCTTCAGCAAAAGGTTGAATCTTTTATGATCTTGTGTAGAAAAGTAGCAACAATTGCTTTTTAAATGTAAGAAGTATAACTGTTACCTTATAAAATTAGTTTCTAAAGAATTAGAATAAAGAAGAATAAAAAATTTAAAAAAAAATTAATTCTAGGCAATTCAGAAAAAGAATTAAAACATAATTTGTCTGTATATCCTGCATTATGTATTGGGTTGGCCAAAAAGTGTTTGGTTTTTTCCATAACATGGCTGTAGTAGCGCTTAGTTATCTTAAATTTCATTCAAAACAATTTTGTTAGATTGTATTGTGACAGCTGTCATATCAGCGTGCATTAAAAAGAAAACTTATCAAGATTGGTGAATTTTTGTGTAGCCATTTTAATATTGAAGATGGAAGAATAGATGCAACATTTTCAGCATATTATGCTTTATTATTTCAAGAAGGGTAAAAATTCAACTGGAATGCTAAAAAGATTTAAAAAGTGCAGTGTGTGGAGAAGGTGCTGTGACTGATTGAATGTGTCAAAAATGGTTTGTGAAGTTTCATGCTGGAGATTTCTCGCTAGACGACTCTCCACGGTTGGCTAGACCAGTTGAAGTTGCTAGTGATCAAAATGGAGACAATAGCCCTGGCTGGTGTGGCTGAGGGGATTGAGTGCTGACCTGCAAACCAAAGGGTTAAATTCCCAATCAAGGTACATGCCTGGGTTGTGGGCCAGGTCCCCAGATGGGAGCATGCAAGAGGCAGCCGCACATTGATGTTTCTCTTCCTTTTTTTCTCCCTCCCTTCCTCTGTCTCTAAAACTAAAAAAAAAAAAAAAAAAAAAAAAAAATCAAGACATTAATGAGAACAATCAACATCACACCACGCAGATGATAGCTTATATACTCAAATATCCAAATCAGTGAAGTTATTGATGAAAATGAAAAATGTGCCTTTTGTTTTATGGAAAAAAAACCCTACGGACTTTTTGGCCAACCCAATATTTCATTCATTCCTTCATTTATTAATTTAATCACTAACCAGACACTTATATTCTTGACCCCCTTTTATAGGTAAGACACTATGTTAGTCACTGAGGTGCCAAGATAAATCCAGAGGAATCCCCCACCTTCTAGGAGCTGACATTGGAGTGGGAGAAAATGATTGTGACAGAGACAGTACTCACCAAATATGCAAATATTTGCTTATATTTCCCAGTCTCCATCGCAGTTGAGTTGGGCCATGTGACCAGTTCTGTCCACTTCTGGCCTAAGTCAGCTATGACCTGGTGTGACTCCTTCAACTTTCTCTACTCCTGACTCAATGACTTTGGAGGTCACAGGCGCTACGTGACACAGCTATGAGATGGACTAGGCCACCAGATTGCAGTAGATTGTTATGGAGCGAGATATAAAACTTTATTGTGTTAATCAGTTCCCTCCTTTTTTTATAGAGTAAAATATACGCAACATCAAACTTACTTAACCTTTTTAAAGTATGTAATTCAGTGGCATTAAGTCCATTCACAATGTATATGCCCTTTCACTTGACGGGTGCTCAGTAGAGACTTTGTGAGTATCCTGTTCCCCCACAACTTTGAGCGTCCAATGATGAGTCTTGCTGGATGCTGCTATTGCCACAACATTTTAATGTGATAAACTTATGAAGTTGATCTTACCAATATTCCCTTTTACAAATGAGGAAACTTGGGCACGAAGAGCTTAAGTAATTACCCAATTTAAGTAACTTACCCGACGGAGCTGGATATTGAGCCACATCTGACTTAACATTCAATGCATGCTTTATAGCAGGAATTGGCACACTATAGCCTGGGGGTCAAATCTGCCACCTCTTTTTTTAATAAAATTTTATGGATTTTAAAATCCTCGGCATTGCCTGTCTGAGGTCCCTAATTACACGACTGTGCCCATTCATTTACCTCTTGTTCACGGCTGTTTTCATGCCAAAATGCCAAAGTTGAGTGGTTGTGGCAGAGACCAGATAGCCTGCAGTACCTAAAATATTTACTGTTCAGCATTTTACAGAAAAAAGTTTGTTGACTTCTGCTTTATAGAGTAGGTATTTACATTTTATTTTTGTTTTTATTAAAATAATACATGCACATGTTTGAAAATCAGATAGTGTTAAAAGCTTTGTTTTGTAAAGGAGGCTCCTGCTGCCACCCCTCTTCCCATCGCCGCGCCTCAGAGACAGATGCATTGCAGTCTTTTAACTGTCTTTCCGGGCCTTTGCAGTTAGTTACACCCTAAATAATATGAGTGTTCCATTGTTTCTTGATGTGTCCATTTTAGATCCTAACTATTAACTGACCTAGTTTAGGCCACTATCCTACTTTTTAGTGCTATATCATAAATAAATTAATCATTCTTAGCTGATATATAATGTTTTATGATCATTTAGTTTTCTGCATTTTCCTCATAATGTATATAAGAAAATTAACATGAATTTAACAATAACTAACATTTTACTACTTAATGTATGCCAGGCACTATTCTAATGCAGTTTCATGTAGTAAATAAAAAAATAAAGTAGTTTCATACATGAATGTTTATAGTACTGTTGTTATCTCTATTTTCTATTCTAACTGATCATCAGTTAGAGGAATTATGTGATTTTTTTTCCCCCTTGGTCAAGCACCTAGTAAGTGATAGAGCCAGAAGTGGACATTTATAACTGGAGCCCTTAAACATTATGTTATAATGCCGTGTGGAGAATCATACTTTTTGGCATTCGTAGATGGGTAGTTCTATTAGCAAATCTGAAGATTTATAACACCTAGGTTTGCTGATGCGCCCGCTTTGAATCTGATTTGGGACGCATTTAGGAGGAGTCAGGTAAGCGGATCAGCCAGTGGCAGGTGCTTTTCCTGAGAGGAGTTCGATTTTCTGATGGATTATAAGTTTGTACAGCCTCAGTCTAATGTGCTGGCTCTCAAACTTGAGCTTACATCAAAATCACCTGGTGGGCTTGGTCAAGCACTAATTCCTGGGTCTCACATATACCTTCTGATTCAGTAGGGCTGGGGTGGGGCCTGAGGTTTCCCATTGCTAACAAGTTGCAGGTGAAGCTGATGCTGCAAGGGACCAAACCGGGCTAATTCCTGGGTGTGCGATGTCTTCTGTGTTGCCTGCTCTTGCTCTCTAATTGTTTTGTGTCTGTTCGTCTTCTCCTGCCAACCAGCTCGTTGGCTCCCGGCCAACAGCTCCGTCACTGGGGCCGACATTCTTTTGTTGACTCCGCAGAGGCCAGGATCCTGTTGCACAAATAGTAGGTCGTAATAAGTTGATTGCTTGCTCTCCTTTAGAGTGTTTTGTGATTTTGAATTTTTCATTTATAAACATTATAATTGTAATGTATATTTATAATGCATTCTCATTATAAAAAATAACCTTTAATAGCACTACCACCCTTGCAAAAATTTTAGCAGAAAAGTAGAAGCAGCTCCTAAAGGATTTTCAGGGGATATGAGATTGTAGCTAAGCACTGAGGAACTTAGTCCTTGATTGGCGCAGTGTTCAGAAGTATGTAAAGTGACTTGTAGGATATCACATGTAGATGTTTTACCTGATTTTTAGTAGGGGATCTTGCTAATGGCATTCTTTGAGATCTTTTTTTAATCTTCTGTTTATATAGAAGTCAATCAGAATCAACATGTCTGGGACTGAGGAAGCATTGCTTGGAGGCCGTGACAGCTATTCTTCTGCTGGTAGCAGCTCTGTATTATGCTTTGGACAGGTAACTGGGTTTTTCACACCTGCAAAGAATGAAGTTAAATGAAAAAGCTATGAGGGAGCAATTAGTAGAGCACCATCACGTACATATGCATAAGCTATTTATTATTATTAGTTTTTCCTATAGATATATTATTTCAGAGCCTTTGATGAACTCTCAGGGTATTTTGGAACTTTAGTATCAAAAGACTAACAGTACTGGGGATTACATTTAGCTTTAAATTTTATTTGTGTTTGGGTAGATTATATATTCATATGATACAGCATTCAAAATGAGACAAAGCCTCTTAGTGAACAGCTGTACTCTTTCCCTATCACTCCTGCCCGCCTTTCACCCAGTTGTCTTTTTTGGAGGCACCCAGAGTTTCTGATGTCATTCTTTGTAACAATATTGTGCATATTAAAGACCTTTTTGCTTTGTCCAGTCATATTCTTTACCGGAAATCTGTTTGTGAGTATTTATTTCATCTAAATGGGACAAAGGGGGACAACAACCAAGGGGACAAAAATCCAAACATGTTGTAGTATATTTATCTGTGAAGGATGAGAAGCTGTTCAGTGGAAGAAGAGGTACACAACTTTGGAGAAGACAGTGGAAGGAAGACTCCCTGTCAGCTTTCTCTCTTCTTCCTTTTTGCCTGTATAAATGTCATATGCAGACTTGGAAGTGGGAATTTTTAGTTTCCCAATTCTGGCATGAGAAAATTTTGTAGGGATGGTAGTAACAGCTAAGGCAGTGGTTCTCAAAATGTGGTTCACTGACCCCTGAGGATCCATGAGACCTTGTCAAAGTCCATGAGGTTAAAAATATTTCCATAATAATACTAAAATACTGCTTGCTTGTTTTCATTCTCATTCTCCCATGAGTGAATGGTGGAGTTTTCCAGAGACTGCATAGCATGTAGTGATACTGCTCTGATGGCAAGTGGAATGTGTGTCAGTTTTGATTCTTAACATTGACATATAGAGCCTACATAAACAAAAGCTCTTAGGGTCCGTGATTCTTTTTAAGTGTGTAACAGACTGTGGAGTCCAAAAAGCTGGAGACTTGCTGACCTAAAGAATACTGGAAATGTCAGTTTAATTTTCTTTCTGTATTATAGTACCGATACACAGCAGAGGAGTACCAGGCCATCCAGAGTGCTCTGAGGCAGAGGCTGGGCCCAGAATACATAAGTAGCCGCATGGCTGGAGGAGGCCAGAAGGTAAGAGAGTTTATATACCTGAACAGTGAGTTGCCCGTGTGGCTGACTTCTTCATTATTTTTTAATATATATTTTATTGATTATGCTATTACAGTTGTCCCATTTGTTTTTCTTCCCTTTGTTTCCCTCCGCCCTGTACTCCCCTTCCCCTATCATCCTCCCTGCCCCCTTAGTTCATGTCCATGGGTTGTACATACAAGTTCCTTGGTGTCTCCATTTCCTATACTGTTCTTAACATCCCCCTGCCTATTTTATACCTACTATTTATATTGCTTATTCCCTGTGCCTTATCCCCCATTCTTCCCCCTCCCCCTCCCCTCTGATCTCCATTTCTGTGATTCTGTCCCTGTTCTAGTTGTTTGCTTAATTTATTTTTGTTTTTGTTTTTGTTTTTTTAGATTCAGTTATTGATAGTTATCATTTTACTCTTCGTAGTTTTTTGATCTTCTTCTTAGATAAGTCCCTTTAACATTTCATATAATAAGGGCTTGGCGATGATGAACTCCTTTAACTTGTCCTTGTCTGGGAAGCACTTTATCTGCCCTTCCATTCCAATGATAGCTTTGCTGGACAGAGTGATCTTGGATGTAGGTCCTTGCCTTTCATGGCTTTGAAAACTTCTTGCCAGCCCTTTCTTGCCTGCAAGGTTTCTTTGGAGAAGTCAGCTGATAGTCTTATAGGAACTCCTTTGTAGGTAACTGTCTCCTTTTTTCTTGCTGCTTTAAGATTCTCTCCTTATCTTTACTCTTGAGTAATGTAATTATGATGTGCCTTGGTGTGTGCTTCCTTGGGTCCAGCTTGTTTGGGACTCTCTGAGCTTCCTGGATTTCCTGGGACTCTATTTCCTTGGCCAGATTGGGGAAGTTCTCTATTATTTTTTAAAATAAGTTTTCAATTTCTTGCACTTCCTCTTCTCCTTCTGGCACCCCTATGATTCGGATGATGGAACATTAAAGTTGTCCCAGAGGTTCTTAAGCCTCTCCTCATTTTTTTGAATTCTTGTTTCTTCATTCTGTTCTGGTTGAATGTTTATTCCTTCCTTCTGTTTCAGCTCTTTGATTTGAGTCCTGGTTTCCTCCCCTTTACTTTTGGTTCCCTGTATATTATTTTCCTTTACTTCATTCTGTGTAGTCTTCTTTTTTCCTCCATTTTGCGACCATACTCAACCAATTCAGGGAGTATCTGATTACCAGTGTTTTGAACTGTGCATCTGATAGGTTGGCTCTCTGTTCACTGCTTAGTTCTATTTTTGGAGCTTTGATCTGTTCTTTCATTTGGAGCATATTTCTTTGTCTCAGCATTCCTTGGAAATCATTGGAAGGGGCGGAGCCTTAGAAGTATTTGCCAGGTGGGGCCATCCAGGTCGCTGAGTTGTGACTGTGTGGGGGAGGGATCCGAGAGAGAACAATGCTGCTTGCTTGGCTCTCAGCCGGCTTTCAGTCACTTCCCCCGCTACCCACAAGCAAATTGGGCCCTTCTGGTGCTGATTCCCAGGTGGGTGGGTTCGTGTACATTCTAGGATCCCGTGGGTCTCTCCAGTGGACTCTCTGGTGAGGCTGGGAGTTTCTCCTAACACCGCAAGCCCCACAGGTTTTTATCTCCACAGGTTTTGAGGCTTTCTTTTCCTGAACTGGAACCCTGGATTGCGCGGTCTGTTTTGCTCCTCAGCTGTTCCTTGGTTTATCTGCACGCAAATGGGGTACCATCCAGTCCACCAGCAGCTGCCTTGCTGCGCGGCCTCTCTGCCCCTCCTGCCAGTCTGGATGAATGTTTCTTCTTTAGCTCATTGGTTGTTGGACTTCCATACAGTTAGGTTTTCTTGCAGTGCTGGTTATTTTTTGTTTTTACAGTTGTTGTTGTCCTTCTTTTGGTTGTGCAAGGAGGCACTGTGTGTCTACCTACACCTCCATCTTGGCTGGACTCGGCTGACTTCTCCGATGATCTTGCCAACTCCCTCTCTGGCTCCTCATAGAGTCAGAAGGCTTCTTGTTCATTGTTGCTGGATGTTTTCTAGTGTCTTTGGGAGGGGATGGCTTCTAGCCTCTTTTGTCAACTGAAGTGACCCAAGCATTGTCTTGAGACTTATATGCCTGCCATCATAGGATTTTTACACAATCTTTTAAAAATACGTCTCATGCCATTTGTTTCTAGTTTTAACTCTTTGTGTGTTTTTGGTCCTCTGTAACACATGTCGACCTGCGATGTATACTTTTTTGGAAACTGAGTTTTGGAGACTTAGGCCAGTGGATATCTTTACTCTTGTCTAATGCCTTGAGACAGGACATTGCTTCTATCTGGCTCCTTCAGGAAGGATCTTTGAAATAAGTTCACTGAGATTTTTTCCTGGAATGTTTAAGGGCAATTTTGCCGAAAAAGCTGGTAAGGAGTACTTTAAGTAAATTTTGATATACATATAAGTATGGCAAGAAATTTTAACGAGTTTTTTTCTTTAATTTTTTTTCAGGTGTGTTACATTGAGGGTCACCGGGTAATTAATCTGGCCAATGAGATGTTTGGTTACAATGGTTGGGCCCACTCCATCACACAGCAGAATGTCGGTGAGTATGCTTCCTGGCAGGGTAGCTTCCTCATTTCCCTTACTTGGCATTGTCTAATTTCTGATAAGAGTGCTTTGTGGGTGAGGATGTCGGGTAGGTGTATTTGGTTTCCAGCAGGAAGAATATGGATGAAGCACAGGGATCAGTATCTTCTCCTACTGGTTTCTTTCCCACTCCCTAGATTTTGTTGATCTTAACAACGGCAAGTTCTACGTGGGAGTCTGTGCATTTGTGAGAGTCCAGTTGAAGGTGAGGGTGATGGAATGGACTTGCTGCCTCCAAGAGTCAGGAGGGTGGTGAGAACGAATGTGCAGGTAGGGGGGTCTCTGGGCTGGGGCACAGCCCGGCTGGAGAACAGGCCCCAGGGCTGGGTCCCAGCCAGTGTCCCTTAGGATGGTGGTATTCAGACCTCCTTTCCCATGTGACCCCTGAAAGAATTTTGAGAAACTCTTTTCTGTACATTTTTAAGTTGATACTTAAAAGATTTCACCATAAATATAAATAGTTGTAAGAGTATATTTTTAAGCATATTGTGAAATTTGGCATTCTAAAATAAATCTGTTATGTCTTTTTATAATGTACCAAATGATTCTAAATATCATAGAGGATTAAATACTGTCATCTGTTTAAAAAACACATAAGCAAGCTATTCTTTAATCATAAGAAATTTGATATTGTTTCTTTTGCACTCATATTTTCATTCTATTCCTCCACTGGTTTTTATCCTAATATAATATATATTTATCATTGAAGTCTTTTTTTATTAATAACTTTATCATACTTCTCTGCCTCTGTGTGTGTGTATAAAATTAAATTTTGGGGGGTAAATTTGCAGTGACCTGAAGGCTCTAAATAATAAAAAGTTTCTTTTGGACTGACTTCATGTTACAGATATTATTAGTACATAATTGATCACTGCATTGTGTTTACGTGGAAGAGACAACATAACTTCATCAAAATTTTTATACTTAATAAAAATTATATGGAAAATGCATTTCTTAATGAGATGGATGACGCTGTTTTCTTCTTTTTCATTCACTTTATATATCCATAGTTTAATTTTATTCCTAGACAGAACATTCAGCATTAATTCTATTCTGACTTTTTATTTGTATGAATAGTACCGAAAAGCTTTATTCACATAAATAAATGGGGAATAGAAAGTTTGTATAGTGCCATTCATTTCTTTGAATGCTTTCTGAGTTATGTCTCCAAATCATCGAGCGCTGCCATCAGAAATTATATCAGTTCTCTAGATGCTAACAGCTTGATCAGCTCCACCTTCGCTGTTGGCGAAAGTCAAAAAGTAGATACCACATGTCTTGCGAAAGGATTTTCTGTCCAATCATTAGAGTCTGTTAAATACAGTACTTAAAATTTTCCGTTAACTTGATGTGCTGGGGTTTTTATTCCTTTGGGTAGTGCACCTTAGTGAGATGTGGGGCAGGTTGGATATGCACATTTTTATGTAGAAGAGGAAGCAGGAGAGGAGAATTGTCTTGACCACAGCCGCAGGTCCAAGCAGATCAGGTCTCGGAAATAGCACTGGAGATTGATTCTTCTCAACTCATTGCCTGCGTGCCCTTTAGCAGCAGGGCCCTGGGTTACGTGTGCCCAGTCTGGGCACTGCTGTTTGAGGAAAAGAAGAGCTGTAGCACCAAAGGGACAAGTGCAGCTTTTCACGTTAGACTTTGAACGCCTTTTCTACCTCCAGGACGGTTCCTATCATGAAGATGTGGGCTATGGTGTCAGTGAGGGCCTCAAGTCAAAAGCCCTGTCTTTGGAGAAGGCCAGGAAGGAGGCAGTGACAGACGGGCTGAAGCGGGCACTGAGGTAAGCAAGAGAGGCCAGAGTCCACTCTGTTGCGTTTTAGTGCTGGTTTCAAAGTGGTTTTGTTTCTTTAAAAAGGTAATATATTCACATCATTCAAAAATCGAAACACTGAAGTTCGCCCTGCTTTCCTGCTTGCTCTCTCTTGTATTTTCCCAGTGCTACTCTATGCTTTGGTGTCCCTTTTTGGGAAGAAGTGGTAGGATACTATGTTCTCTGTTCTGTACTTGATTTTGCACTTGCTTCTCTTCGACTCAGTAATGTATTTGGGGCCCTTTCCACATGAGTACATAGAGAGCTTCTTCATTCTCTTTAACACACCTAGATACTTCTCGTTTTGCATATGTCACTTAGTTGACTTAGTTACATAGTGCAGGGTCATTATCCGTTTTGGGTCATAGATACCTTTGAGATTTGAGGTGAATTGGGTCACCAGAAAAATACATGTATAAACATTCACCAAAAATTTGCAGCACCATAGCCTGTATATCCCAAGTAAAGAACTTTGGTCATGGAGGACCTCACCCCTAATTGTGTGTGGCTCACTATTGTTGGGGTGGGGGCAGGGAATCTGCTCTGGAATTTGCGCCCCACATCAGACTGTGTACTGGGGTTTCATGAGTGGTTTTTTAGTCTTTTCATATTCATTACCTCTTGCTGAGGACAGCGATTTGTGACTGTCATGCCCACTGATGTATTCTGACAGCCCAGTCCCGTGCAGGAACATGGCAGGTCCTCCGTGACGAATTTTGAAGGCATATTAGGGCCCACTCTTCTGCTGCCATTGAGAAGCAGCTTGCACAGAGTTGTAGCTTTCTTCTCTGATACTGACATGTAACAGTCCTCAACCCTGTTTCTTTTTTTATTTCTTACCCATAGAAGCTTTGGCAATGCACTTGGAAATTGTATTCTGGACAAAGACTATCTGAGGTCACTAAATAAGCTTCCACGCCAGGTATGTTACAAATGAATGAATGGAACATATTACAGTAAAGATATAACTAATTCCCTTGTGTCACGGGTTGAGTGTTTGGGATTGAAGAGAGAAGTGAAGACTCAGCTACTTAGAGGGTCTGTGGTATGCATTTCAGACTTCTTTAACAGAACTTGCAGGAACTCATCGCCTTATTTCACAGCTAAAAAGAACCGAAGCCTGGAGAATTTGTGTCACGCCTCTCTCGTATAGAGAGGACTGTGGCTGGGAATGGTCTGTGAAACCTTAAAGGGAGCACACAACCCTCACCAGCACTGCTGCTGTTTCTTAGAAGCACTCAGAACCTCCCTTTCCTGTTCAACCTTCTTGCTTTTCCTTAATTCTGGTGTCTTTCCGATTTAGATCTCCCTTGTTTTTTGTCAGTGATCTGATCACTCGCCTTTGGAGAATGGGGTCTGGAGCGTTCCTGTGGCCTGGTGCAGTGTAGCTGTTTCCTCTGGCCCCCGCTGAGGTCCCCCAGTGCCGCCGCCTGGGCAGCGCTCCCGCTCCTGTACTGGAGGGTTCTTCTTCTTGTGGGGCCCCTAATAGACGTGTGTCAATTGGCATCTGTCAAAACTCCATTTATTTCCTTTTTTAGATTTTTGTTTTGTTTTAAAAGATTTTATTATTATTATTTTTTTAGAGAGAGGGGAAGGAAAGGAGAAAGACAGGGAGAAAAACATCAAAATGAGAAAGAAACATTGATTGGTTGCCTCTCATATGCACCCCTACCGGGGACCAATCCTATAACCCAGGCATGTGCCCTGACCAGGAATCAAACCAACAACTTTTCGCTTTGGGGGATGATGCCTGACCAACTGAGCCACACCGGTCAGGGCTTTTAAAAAAAATTTTTTATACATTATTGTACATACTGAGTTTGCTAATGTTTTGTTAAGGATGTCTGCATCTATATTTATAACAGATATTAGTCATAGTTTTTCTTTTCTCTTTTTTTATGGTAAAAAACACATAATAAAATTTACCATTTTAACCGTTTTTCATTGTACAGTTCAGTAGTGAAACAGATCTCTAGAACTTTTTTTATCTTGTAATACTGACACTCTATACCCATAAAACAACTTCCCCTTTCTCCCTTCTTCCAGCACTGAAAACCACCATTCTCTGTCTGTTTCTAAGAATGTGATTACTTTAAATGCTCATCTAAGTGGAAACACAGTTTTTGTCCTTTTGTGATTGGCTTATTTCATTTAGCATAATGACCTCAAGTTTCACCTATGCTGTATGTAGCACGTCAGAATTTCCTTCCTTTTAAAGGCTGAATAATATTCCATTGTGTGAATATAGTATCATATTTTAGGGTTGCTCCTATCTCTTCACTATTGAGAATAGTGCTGTTATGAACATGGGTGTGCAAATACCTCTTTAAGACCCTGCTCTCAATTCTTTTGGATACATATCCAGAAGAGGAGTTGCTCATTCATTTCAGTGTTATATTTTTAAGGGAAATACTGTTTTCTATAAAGGCTGTACCATTTTTCAGTTCAATGAACAGCACACAAGGGCTCCAATTTCTTCACATCCTCTACATCCTCACCAACACTTGTTATTTTCTTTTTTTTTTTTTTTTTGATAGTAGCCTTACCAATGGGTGTGAGGTGATATCTTATTGTGGTTTTGATTTCCATTTCTCTGATGATTAATGACGCTGAACATCTTTTCATACGTTTATTAGCCATTTGTATATAATCACTGGAGACATGTTTGCTCGAGTCCCTTGCCCATTTTAAATGGGCTATTTTTTTCTTTTTTTTTAATATATATATTTTACTGATTATGCTATTACAGTTGTCCCATTTCTTTCTTCCCTTTATTTCCCTCCACCCTGCACTGTCCCACCCTCCAACATTCCACCTGCCCCGCCCAGCTTAGTTCATGTCCATGTGTTGTACATAGAAACTCTTTGGCTTCTCCATTTCTTATACTATTTTTAACCTTCTCCTGTCTATTTTGTACCTACTATTTATGCTGCTTTTTCGCTGTACCTTTTCCCCCATTCTTCCCCCTTCCTTTCCCCTCTGTTTTACTGTTCATAGTTTTTGATCTTCTTTTTCTTAGATAAGTCCCTTTAACATTTCATATAGTAAGAGCTGGGTGATGATGAACTCCTTTAACTTGACCTTGTCTGGGAAGCACTTTACCTGCCTTTCCATTCTAAATGATAGCTTTGCTGGACAGAGTGATCTTGGATGTAGGTCCTTGCCTTTCATGGCTTTGGAAACTTCTTGCCAGCCCCTTCTTGCCTGTAAGGTTTCTTTGGAGAAGTCAGCTGATAGTCTTATGGGAACTCCTTTGTAGATAACTGTGTCCTTTTCTCTTGCTGCTTTTAAGAGTCTCTCCAAATCTTGGGTAATGTAATTACGATGTGCCTTGTGTGTGCTTCCTTGGGTCCAGTTTCCTTGGGACTCTCTGAGCTTCCTGGACTTCCTGGAAGTCTCTTTCTCCAGGTTGGGGAAGTTTTTCTTCATCATTTGTTCAAATAAGTTTTCAATTTCTTGCTCTTCCTCTTCTCCTTCTGGCACCCCTATGATTCAATGTTGGAACATTTAAAGTTGTCCCAGAGGTTCCTGAGTCTCTCCTCTTTTTTGAATTCATGTTTCTTCATTCTGTTCTGGTTGAATGTTTATCTCTTCCTTCTGCTCCCAATTGTTGATTTGAGTCCTGGTTTCTTCCCCTTTACTTTTGGTTCCCTGTATATTTTCCTTTATTTCACTCTGCGTAGTCTTCTTTCTTCCTCCATTTTGTGACCATACTCAACCAATTCAGTGAGCATCCGATTACCAGTGTTTTGAACTGTGCATCTGATAGGTTGGCTATCTGCCCATCACTTAGTTCTGTTTCTGGAGCTTTGATCTCTTCTTTTATTTAGGCCGTATTTCTTTGTCTCGGTGTGCCTTGGACATTTGGAAGGGGCAGAGCCTTAGGTATTTGCCACGGCTGGGCCACCCAAGTCACTGAGTTGTGACTCTGTGTGTGGGAGGGGTCCAAGAGGGAACAATGCTGCTTGCTCGGCTCTCAGCCGGCTTTCAGTCACTTTCCCCGCTACCCACAAGCCAGTTGGGCCCTTCTGGTGCTAATTCCCAGGTGGGTGCGTTTGTGTACATTCTAGGACCCTGTGGGTCTCTCCAGTGGACTCTCCTGTGAGGCTGGAAGTTTCTCCTGCCACCGCAACCCCCACTGGTTTTTACCTCCACAGGTTTTGAGGCTTTCTTTTCCTGAACTGGAACCCTGGATTGAACGGTCTGTCTCGCTCCCCAGCTGTTCCTTCGGTTTATCCGCACGCAGATGTGGGACCACCCGGTCTGCCAGCCGCTGCCTCACCCGCCCGGTCCTCCCGCTGCCGCCCTGCCGCGCGTCCTCTCTGACCCGGCTGCCCGTCTCCGCCCCTCCTGCTGGTCTGGATGAATGCTTCTTCTTTAACTCCTTTGCTGTCGGACTTCCATGCAGTTTGATTTTCTGGCAGTCCTGGTTTTTTGTTTTTAAATTTGTTGTTGTCCTTCTTTTGGTTGTGGGAGGAGGCAAAGTGCATGCACCTTCGCCTCCATCTTGGCTGGAAGTGCTTAGGCGATTTCAAATGACCTGTCTTCTTTATTCTTCCTGTGAAAGTCTGCTGTAGAACCTCTCTAGCGAATTCTTCAACTTTGTTATTGTATTTTTCAGCTCCAAAGTTTGCTTCCTTCTTTTCTATAGTTTTTCTTTGTTGATTATCTCATTTTGTTCACACATCATCTCCCTCATTCCGTTCAGTTGTCTGTGTTCTCTTTTAGCTCACTGGGCAACTCTTGACAGTATTTGAAACTCTTTGTCAGACAGTTCATAGATCTAGATTTCTTTAAGGTCAGTTTTTGTTTGTTCCTTTGGGCCATGTTTCCCTGTTTCTCTGTATGCCGTGTGATCTTTTGCTGAGATTTGGGCATTTAGAAAAACAAACACTTCTCCTAGTCTTTATGTACTGATTTTGTGGGGGGAAGACTTTCAATAATCAGCCCAGATAGAGGTTTTAGGGTGTCTCAGGGCTTTTATGATCTCTTTTTCCTCTTGCCATCTGATTGCAGAACTGCAGCTCCGCTGGACTATGGTGCTCACTTCTGTGTTTAGGGGCTTTCAGACTCTGACACTGGTTCCATTAATGTTCTGAGTCTGGTGAGACAGGAACCAATGCTTTGGGCAGCCCCCAGATAAGCCAGGACATTGGACACACAGCCCACTCTTTGTGTCCATACTGAGGGGAGAGCCCAGTGTCGGAGGTTTTCTCCTGGTTGCACTGCTCTGTACTGGGTAGAGGCAGGGGCACAGGTGAGCGTGCAAAATGCTGTGAATTTCCTACCCCTTTTGCTGGAATCTTTTTGAAGTTAAAAAAAATTTCAAGTACAGCTGACATTCAATATTATGTTAATTTCAGGTGTACATCATAGTGGCTAACATTTATACAATTTATGAAGTGATTCCCCTGGTAAATCTAGTTCTCAGCTAGTGCCATGCATAGTTGCTACAGTATTATTGCCTGTACTCCCTGTGGTGTACTCTATGTCCACCAGATTATTTTGTAACCACCCATGTGTGCTTCTTAATCCCTTTACGTTTTTCACCCAGCCCCCTAACCCCCATCCTGCCTAGCAACCATCAGTTTGTTCACTGTATCTGTAAGTTTGTATTTGTTTTGTTTGTTTCTTTTTTTTTTGAGATTATACATATAAGTAAAATCACATGGTATTTGTCTTTCTCTGTCTGACTCATTTCATTAGCATAATACCCTCTATGTCCATCCCTGTGGTTACAAATGGTAAGATTTCACTCTTTTTTATGGCTAATATTCTGTTGTATATATGTACTGCATTTTTATCCAATCGTCTATTTATAGATACTTAGGTTGCTTCTATATTGTATATGGCTATTGAATATGAAATGTCCTTCTTTGTCTCTTGCTATAGCCTTCGTTTTATAGTCTATTTTGTCTTATGTAAGCGTTGCTAGGCCAGCTTTTATTTTGCTTCTATTTGTGTGAAGTACCCTTTTCTATCCCTTTACTTTCAGTCTGTTGTGTCTTTTGATCTGAAGTGATTCTCTCATAGGCAGCATATGTAAGGGTCTTGTTTTCTTATCCATTCAACCACCCTGTCTTTTGATTGGCGCATTTAATCCATTTACAGTTATGGAGTTACTGCAGTCATATTTTTGATATTCTGTTCTTCTTCTTACAGAAGTCCCTTTAGCATTTCTTGTAACTCTGGTTTGGTGGTGATGAACTTCTTTAGCTTTTTTCCTGTCTAGGAGCTCTGGAATGTTGTCTTGGTTGTCTGTTGGACTTAGTGCTATAGCTTCTGAGCTGGTCACTGGAGTTCTCACAAAGGTATCCTAGTCCGTACATTGTTGTTAACCCAGTGTCTCTGTCGGGGAAGGAGGGCCTGGAGCTTCCTAGTCTACCGTTTTGCTGACATCACTCTATTTCTTTTCTACTCTTATTTTTTTTAAATGAATTTCTTAAATGATACAAAACATACACGCAGAAAACCGTATAAAACATAATGGCACAGCCTGATAAATTTTTAGAAGTGAACCTATTTGTACCCCCAATAGAGAAACAGACGTTCCCAGAACCCCACACCCCATTTCTCCCCCATTCACTACCTTGAGTTTCTCTTTTCAAAAATAACTTCTGTCCTAACTTCTCTCTGACTTCTACCCTCAGAGAGTATTTTTCCCATTTTTGAATTTTATATAAATGGAATTGTACATTTGAGCATTATAAAAATTGCAGTATTAGAAAGTACATGGAGACATGTAGACAAGCGCACATAGCATGGAAGGTTCAGCTTGAGGAATTCTAAAACTGAACACACCCACGCACGCAGCATCTGCATCGACAGAACATGACCTGTATCCCAGAAGGCTCAGTTGTGTCCCTTGCAGTCACTGCTAACCCCTCCCCTTGGCACTACCAAGGAAAACCACTTTTCACAAAAGATTAGTTTTGATTATTTTGCACTTTTTGAAATCAAACAGCTTTGTGTCTGGCTTTCATTCAACATGTTGACGAGATTCATTCCTGTTGCATGTAGCTTTTTCATTGCTGTGCACTTTTCTGTTGCATGAGCACACCGTAATTTTTTTCCCATTTTGATTTTAATTCATCTTTGAGATGATTGTGTAGCTTTAGCATTCTTGTACGATGTCTTTTGGTGCGCGCACACACATATTTATCTAGGGAATCGCTGGGTCGGGTCAGAGGACAGGCAAACACTCAGTTTTAGTCGAGCCTTCCGGTTTCCCACTGCGGTGCTAATGTTGCCACATCACAGTGTATCAGAGTTTCAGTTGCTCCATCTCTTTGATAGCACTTAGCATTGTCCATCTTTTAAATTTTTCTCAAAACTCATTTCTTGTTTTTTTCCAAATTTTTTTATTGTGGTAAAATATACATAACACAATTTACCATGTTAACTATTTAAAGGTGTACAGTTCAGTGGTATTAGATACATTCATCATGTTGTGCAGCCATTACTACCATTTATCTCTATAACTCTCTCTTCTTGTAAAATAGAAAACTATCATTAAATAATACCTTCCTACTCCACTAATCGTACAGCCCCCTTCATAAGCAAGAAAAATCAACCACCAGTCCACTTTCTGTTTGATTTTGACTGCTCTGTGTACCTCATATAAATTGAATCATATGTATTTATCTTTTTGTGACTGTTTAACTTAGCGTGAGGCCCTCCATCCATGGTGTAGCATAAGCCATTTCTTTTTAACCTACTCATTTACTTTCCAATGTAGATACTTCATTTTCAGGTTATTTTTATCAAAAGGTTGTCAACTCAATCCCTCATTTTCAATTATTGTATCAGTATCCATATTATGAACTGAGAGAGAAGTTCCCCCAAGTGAAAAAACACTTAATTTCTGTAGGGCTCAAGGCTTGTTAGTAAAACAATCTGCTGTGCGCCACGAGACACCCCGTCTTTCTTCTCTCACTCCCTCGATGCAGCAACAACTGCAATGGGAGGGTTCCCTACAGTCGTAGCTCACAACCTACGTCAGTGATTTCCAGGTTTTCTTCTTCCTGTTACTTGAAGAGCACTTAATTGTGCCACAGCCCACCTGGGCCTTTTTCTGTGATGCCTTGTATTTGCAGGAGGAAGTTCTGGCAGGAGGGGCAGAGAAGGTGTAGGCCGCCACAACTGCTGTGATAATTTCCGTTAAAAAAAGAGAAAGATAAAAAATAGACAGCACCAGATTCAGTTGCCACGGAAAGATTTAAATTAGATTTTATAGACCATTTGCCCTAAATCAAAACTAAAATAAATTTTTTTTTTCAAAAATCATTAATAAAGTAAAATTGTTTTATTCCTCATTTAATTAAAAATATTACTTGAAGTGTTGGATCTTTTGTCTCAACTTCTTAGGACCTAGAAGGCATGATGGGGAAAGGATTTTCAAGTGCTGTTTTCTAGGACTCTCGATCTTTAAGGCAGGGGGAGGGGAAGCGCAGTTGGAAGAAGTATCCACCCTCCTCTCTTGCCTCATTAGTTACCTCTTGAAGTGGATTTAACTAATGCAAAGAGACAAGATTTTGAACCATATGTGGAACAAGCAAGATACAGCAGCTGCCGACAGAACATGGCTCTGGGACCCCCAAAACCACAGGAGATGACCTCCCCCTGCCGACCAAGCCACTCAGATGGTCCCCATGTTGTGATACAGGGAGACAAGGACAGCAGCTCCCGGTGCGTGTCCCGAGTTCCCCGCTTTCCTCTTCTGCCTTCTCTACCTTCAGAGCCAGCACGCTGGGTTGTGTGGCCTCTCCGGAATTGGGTGCCGTATTCCGTTAACTCAGGAACTCATTCCTACCTGTTGCTCTTCTGCTGCAGAAGCCTGGCGTCCTCTGCTGTGGGGAGGGATGCCACCTACCAGCGGAAGCTCCGGCAAAAGCAGTTGCAGCAGCAGTTCCGGGAACAAATGGAGAAACAGCAGCAAGTTCAACTCTCAGCTCCATCCACTGAAAAGAAGAATCAGGGTTTGTGAGAATCAGGATGGGAGCAGAGGCCCCAGGGAGGTGTACTGTACCTGGGGGCTGCTTGTCAACTGAGTCCCGATCCTCTGTGGTCTGGTCCAAGCTGGAGCTCAGTAGGCCTTCCCTCAAGTTGCCCAACTGGATAGATGAGTCCAAAAAAAATTAAGATAGTGAAATCCTGCCACGTATTTCCCCATTTCTAAAGACACTAAGGAAATGGGCCTTGACAAAACCTGGAACTAGAAATTTCATTGTACACAACGTTTGCTTCATTTTCTTTGGCTGTCTCTGCATTACAAAGCCTTTCTGAGCTGTCTGAATATAAGGAAAATTTGCTTATGAAGGTAATGGCTTTGACAATTATTTATCTATGAATTTTAGTTTATTTCAGAGTCCAGATTCAGTGGGAGCCATGCATAGAGGTTATTTTTGGTCTTTCCCAGAGTAGAAACAGGAAGGGCTAAGCCCAGACTAATTGGATTTTTGCCCAGTTTCTCCCTAAGAATGATGAAGGAGTTCATAGAGGATTCGCTTTCATTAATATTTCCCTCAGCACTGAGGCTGAAATTAAGTTGGGGGGGAAAAACAACTTACTGTGCTGGGGATGTTCTTAGTAAGAATTATTCTAGACATATACCATGTTGTGCTGTGTATAATGCTTTCCTGTGTTTAACATGCACCCATGTTTTAGGCCCAAACTTTCAGGAAAGAAAGTTTTCATTTTAATTTTTTAATTCAACTTTTTATGTATTTATATTTAGATACTTGTTTTTTGTATTATAAAGGAATTTTAGCATCCCTTTGTGAACATATTATAGTACAAGAAATTTTATGTAACAAATAATTACAAAACACAAGAACAGATACAAGGTATTTTAGGTGCTGCCCATGTATGATGCGCATCCTTCTTTTCCCCTCAAAAATTTGGGCAAAACAGTGTGCATTATACATGGCAAAATACGGTAGCTTCCAGACCGTTGCAGAAGCCCGTGGGTGGGAGAGGGGCCCAGGGTGGGGAGTCCTCCAGGCCTTTTCCCTACCCACATGACCATTCATTGTTTTTATTGTTTTTTTCTATATTGAATTTCTATTAAAGATTTTCTTGGAACAAGGGTTATAGCTTTAAGAAGTGTTCTAGTAACCCTTCTATTTTTGCCACTAAAGGAGAAGTAAACTGTTTCCCCCCCCCAATTTGGTAGGAAGACAAAAGGTGGTTTTAACAGGTAGGACTGGAATGCAGGAACCTTGAGTTCTGCTACTGGCTGCGCTGTGAAGCAGCATACTCTAGGCAGCTTTGCACTTCTGAGGCTGCCCCGTCCAGCTGAGTTCTGTGGTCTCTCCCTCTGAACTGTCGCAGAGCTGCCTGCACCTTCTTTGAAGGACAGCACTTCCATGGCACAGGGTGCAGAACCACTCTTTGAGAGCGACTTCCCTGAAGGTGAGTAGGGCCTAAAGGAATGCTAAGTATTAATTAGGACATACTTGTGAAATGCATGTAAGTTACTGTGCTGGATACCTCTGGTACTTAACAAATGTATTTTAAAAGCAGCATAGAAGTCCTTTCTGTTTTATAGCCCCATGAAGTTTTAGGAAAAAGAGGGCCCAGAATGGGTTGATGGCAGTTTTGCCAGTAGCACAGATTCAGCTCCTCTATTTTCCTAACCTGAGGAGCTTCAATGTACTTTTAGGGGTTGGGGACAGAAATTCTAAAAACTATCATAGGGCCCTCATGGCATAGGATTTCACATGACCTGTTGTTTCCAGTGCTTTATGTGAGAACACTTCCTTGTTTGCCGATGCTCCATTTTTCTGTGCTCTCTGTCCTTGCAGACAGTTTTGAAATATGGGCTATGGCTCCAGATGCAGGGGACAGTGTTGCCAAGCCCTTGTCTACACCAGAGCCCCAGCAGACTGCCGCCATGCCAGTCCTGAAAAGCCAGATGGTGACCCAGAACAGGACCCCACAAAGCCTTTGCCACCAGAACCCACAAGCAAAATCTGAACCTTGGCACCTCCAAACTGCCAATGTTAACGTGACAGGTAGCAAAGTGTTTTAGGAACAAAAATTGGAGAACCTGGGTTTAATCCTATGAATTTTGAAGGAGAATATTCTACTTAAAAAGTAGGATAGAATCATGACGAAGTGTTAGCAATATAACAGACTGACAACCATCAACAACTGGAACTCAAACAAAAACAAAAACAGAAACAAAAACTAAGCAAACAACTAGAACAGGAACAGAATCACAGAGATGGAGATCACATGGAGGGTTATCAGCAGGGAGGGGAACAGGGAGAATGGCGGAAAAGGTACAGGGAATAAGAAGCATAAATGGTAGGCACAAAATAGAGAGGGGGAGGTTAAGAATAGTATAGGAAATGGAGAAGCCAAAGAGCTTTTATGTACGACCCATGGACATGAACTAAGGGGGTAGATTGCTGGAGGGAGGGGCGGTGTAGTAGGGAGGGGGATAAACGGGGGGAAAAAAAATGGGACAACTGTAATAGTATAATCAATAAGATATACTTAAAAAAAAAGAAGATAATTGGTTTGAGAGCCAGAACTTGTCCTTTGAGGTATTCACTTGAGCCCTTGATGGTAGTGGGACATTCTGACGTGATCGCATCAGAGATTTTCCTATGAAAAGTGGGCCTTTGTGATTATTAGTGCAACTTGGTCTAGAAAAGTTAACAGAAGGGTATGTTCCTCATAACAATTTTCAGGCTTAGGTTTTTAGTTGAAATTCAGATCATTACCTAATACAATTCAGAAATTACTAACTGTGAGTTGACTTTAAAATCAAGGCAACTATATCTTAAAAGCTTTTTCTTCCATAGGCAACTGTGATTCCTACAGGAAGAACCCAGACACGAAAAAAAGGAAATTGGATCCATCTTAAAGAGCTCAGGTTACATCACTGGACTGTCACAGAGGGACATTAGAGAACTGCTTTTTGGCCATGAAATTATTCATCATTCCTAGGGAATGAGCTTTACTGCCAAGAATTTACTTGCTTCATTCTGAGCTTTCTCAAAGGATTTGACTATTGGAGCCTACTGCAGGTAAAACTGAGCAGTTGGAAAACAAGTCCTTTAAAAAAGCTTACCACACACTGCAGAAGGCTTTGGGGGGAGATTAAAAACCTTTTGAGTTTTTGAGGCTCTTTATTATTTATTGCTAACTATTGTTAATAAATGTGTAACTTTACGGAATCACCAGTGGCTACAAGTAATGTAAGCACTGGCTTTTTTAAAAAATTTTATTTGTTCACTTTTTTTTTCCCCACTACCAGTTATTCATTCCCCAAATCCTCTTTTAAACAACCACCTGCATTAATTATTGTTGAGTGATCTCTGTCTTCTTTTGCGTTAGGGCACCAAGTTCTAACGTTGTCCATGTGAGGGCTGTGCCACGTTCAGGACAAAGCCCACAGTGGGGTTTTACTACTGTGCATCAACCCAGGCTACTATCCCCTTCTATGACAACCTCTTGTTTAATTAAGGAAACAATGACCTGAGGCCAAAGAAGACACATTTCAAGAGCGCAAAATAAACCCTTTACTTCATAACAAGATAGAAAATATAAGTAGCTGTTTATTTTTTTCCCTTTTCAGATATGTTACAACCCACCTTAACATAAGTTGTTTTTCCATGGTGCTTAATAGATGTTTTAACAATTCTTTCTCTTAAATGAGTTTGTAAGTTTACTTTTTTTTTAAGATTTTATTTATTTTTAGAGAGAGGGGAAGGGAGGGAGAAAAAGGGAGGGAAACATCAATGTGTGGTTGCCTCTTATGTGTCCCCAACTGGGAACTTGGCCCGCAGCCCAGGCATACACTCTGAGTGTGAATCGAACTGGCAGTCCTTTGGTTTGCAGGCCAGCACTGAATCCACTGAACCACACCAGCCAGGGTACAAGTTTACTTTTTAAGGTGCATTTTGGGCTGTACCTCTCTAATCTTGAGGGAGTGGCTTTCATTATTTTTTTGGATAACAGATCCATCTGTGGGGAGCTGGGAATCTGAGGCAAGGAACTCTTAACAGAAGGCTGTCAAGCCATTTCTACTCCTTGGGAAAATGAAGAGGCAGATTCGGTCACATAGTCCTCTTTTGATTTTGATATCCTTACTGTCTTCTTCAGAGTAAACATTTTTATCTGCAGTATAACCTCACTACAGGTCAGAATTGTGACTAAAAACAGTTCTTGAAGTTAGGAATCCAGTTATAAATTGCACACAAAACAGGGCTAATGAAATCATGAAAAAGGAACTGGCTGGAAATGAAACCTCACAACTCAACAAAAGCAAGTTTGGTTTATTTGAATGGTTTCATTAAATAAGTCTACAAAGGTAACAAACTGAAGCACAAAGTGCAATTTTACAAGAAGCGCAACACCCAGAGTTAGTGCAAAATGTACAATTAACGGCTGCGGAGAAACCCAAGGTTTGAATTCAGTTTATTCATTTTTTAAAACAGTGTACATTGTTAAATAATGTAAGGAAAACATTTATAATTCAGAAAGATTTTTTTAATGTGGAAAAAAGATACTCAAAGTGTACTATTAACACAAAAATAATTTAAACATTTCAGTAGCACTAGTTCATTCCTCTAGGCTTCAGTTATTTCATCCACAGGAGGGAAAAATAATCAACAGTAAATAAAACCAGTTACTTTTTTTGTGAGTGAAGAGATCTCAACATTATTAAACCAAAATAACAAACAATGTGCTGCATTTGGTTTGCTCGTTTCTCTAGTAGAAAATATTGTTTTATTCATCTTAGGTGGTCCATTTCTTATTTATTTGGCCACCTTCTTTGTTCTAGCCTTACTCTTTCCATCTCCCCAAGAATTGTAAGCAAATAAGTAAACAATTTTGAAGGAGGGCTTGGAACCCCTGCCCTGTTCATTTCTACCTTTTTAAAATCTTCAGCTTTCATTTGTATCTTTGGGGCCTAGGCTAACTTAAGGAGACAGGGCCGACAAAGGAACAGGACCATTGAGGTGGGTAAGAGGTTAGAATATGTCAATTTCCCAACTCAAGAGTCAAGACAAGAAGCACCCCAAAATTAAGGTTCCTAGCTCCCCCCCCATCTTCTGAGATAATAAAGATCCCAACATAGCCAATTAGGAGAGTATTTCCTGAAAGCTCTGAAAATAACAGAACTGCCCATTACAACTAGGCATAGCTAAATAATACTGGTTGGTTGCAGTTACTACTTAAGGAGAATATTGTTACTATGAAATGCAAGAATATCAGTTGCAATTGCAGAAATAAAGGTGGCATGAAAGATGTGATCCTGCAACCATTTGAACATTATACAGGAGAAGAGCAGGAAGAAAAAGCATTCTTTCCTACAGTGCTTAATTCAGATGTGGGTCCACTTTTCGCAAAAAATAAAAAATATAGTACCCCCAAGCTGAGAAATGCCTGGTACATTTGCAACTAGAGGAAAGCAACCCAAATAGTTCTTAGAGCAACTTTCTCCATCTATGACTTTCCACTACCACGTTTCCCAGCTTAAAAACCAGCTCCCATTCGCTTCCCTTTATGTTCAGCCATTTCTTCTAGGCCTGTTCAAGCCCAGCTCAAACGAGTAAGGCTTATGGCATCCATTGGCCAAGTATCACATATCTTCTAAACAAATTTGTTCTCTCACTTTTAGTCTTTTTCTTTCACATATCACACATCACCTTATCTTCAATTGCTCAGTTTTGTTCCAGTACCCCCTCCTCAAACAACGTTCTGCTTTCAACCACTGATGTCAACTTAACTTCTCACCCTGCTCATCTTACACCTGCTCTAGACAAAATTGTTAAATGACTTATTTAAAAAAAAAATTGTTCAATTTCCCTTTGGCATCATCCACTGCTGGGGTCACGTGGACCTTAGATTTCCTTCCATATGCCCTTTGCTGATCTGGGGGTCTGATGAGAAGTTGATGCTAATGGCAGAAGCAATAGAAGTCCAAGGCACTAAAAAATCCAGCAAGCAATACTGGTTGAACAGAAGTATTCAAGTACAGTAATTTATACAATTTTACATTCACATTTATTTATCTAATACAATGGAAGTACAAAGGAAAAAGTTAAAGTGTCTCAATAAGTAAAGGACAGAGCTAGCTTTTTTTCCAACGTTTTAAACCTTTCATATTTTCATCTTAAAACTACTGTTGTCCAACAACATTCATACATCACAGTGTTTCCACATCAAAACTGATGGCAAGTTACATGTCCGCAGGGAACTCTTTTTCTTTTTTTTCCTAATTGCTAATGCTGCAGTCAAAGCTGCTAATATTTGCTTAAAGCACTAATGACCTATCTTAAGAAAGGGCTAAAACCTCAGTCTCCTGGTGTTTTCCACTGGGTTCTAAAGAGAGAAAAAAGGAAAGGGAAAAAAGTGGGGATTGGGTGGGGGAACAGGGTAGGAGAGAGCCCAATACTTTTTTTTGTCTTCTGGTTTAGATTTTTGAGGGAATAGGGACTTGGGGCGGATACCCAAATTAAGAGCTCCACCCACTTGAAAATACAGATGGGGTTTCGTTTTCCATTGAGTGCTCTAGTAGCTTTCTGATAAAGCCTTTCTCTTTGCTGGCCCTCGCTGTGGGTACAGGGAAACAGGAAAACACAATCTGAAGCTGCCCCACCACAAGAAAGCTGCTCCTTCCTTCTTGTCCACTCCAGCTGATGGCGAAGGGGGAGAAACACTCTCCACCCTGAGGGCTCTAAGCAGTATTAAACACATTCTTTTCTGGCAAGAAATAATCAGTTAAATGAAGCACTAGTAGTTAGCAAATAATCAGTTAAATGCAGCACTAGTAGTCAGCATTCCCTCTCCTGCCCCCAAATCTACTCAGTGAATGTCTCTAGGTCTGACTAAGTGGTCCGCAGGTTGGAACCTGGGGGGTTGCTGATGGATTTCTGCAAATTGCTGATGTTGAAATTCTGTAAGGAAGCAGTCCCTACAGGCGGGAACTGCCCAAGCGGCTGCGGTGTGGGGCCACCTGTCCCGCTCCACTGAGTGCTAAAGGGTGGAGCCGGAAAACTGTACTGCTGCGGTGGGCACATGGACTTGGTGAAGTGACCTAGAGAGGTAGCTGATGCTGCAGAGATGGGGGCAGAGCCGCCCAGGTTTGAGGTCATGGAGATGCACAGCTGACCGGGGGCGGAGAACTTCCTTGCCATCGCAGGGCCCTGAAAACAAAACAACTCACTGTAAAGTATGGTATGAGCATAATGTGCACGAGTGTGAAGTGGGCAGTACTACAATACAACTTGACCACAGGGACTACTGTAATCTTACAAAACCTTTCAATTATTATTGGCTCTTTACATTTACCAAACAGGGGTGAGAATAGCCATTCTGACTGGCAGGGGGCGGTGTGGTGCGTGCGTGTCTGTGCAGTGGCACGCAGTTCACGGTATCAAAGGAAAAGGGAAGAAAAAATGGAATCGACCAATAGGGAGAGAAGGACTCAGGGAAGGAAAAATCAAAGGGTACCTGGGTGATTTTTTTCCTGTTTTTCTACAAGTGTTAAACAGTTTTAATTAAGCACTAAAGAAGGTCATGACCTGAAATGTTAATAAGCACTAGGCCAGGTAGTTTATATCGTCTCCAACTCAGATGTGCTAACTGGAACAAAAGGGAAAACTTACCTCATAGTTCATATGTCCCTTGCTTCCTCTCCTGCCTGAAAGATTCATGGCATCTCGGGCCCAATTGTCTACCAGCTTGTGCAGGTCATCAGTGAATGTGCCCTTCCTGCTGGAGGTCAGGGCAGGAGGCTGAGCTTGGGCGGCTTGGCTGTTCACTGTTCCCCCAACAGTGTTTGTGCTGCTGGTCCCTAGGGTTAGAAGCAGCAATAGAATATAACCATTAAAAGGCATTTGAATTTAATTTAATGAACAGGAAAAGCACCACAGAAGGATGACTGGCAAGCCACAAAATGGGGAGAGGATGGACTGGGAAGCCATGCAAGAAAGGAAGGGAGAGTCCAAGGTCTTACTGAGCCAATGCTTTGGCATAACGTAATGAAACCAGATTCTCTTCAGGGCTGCAGGAAGGCTCAACAGCTCAGGATGACGGTCGGCACAGAGGGCAGGGACCTCTTTCAGCGCCTCACGCAGCGCCTCAGAGCACTGAAGCTCACTGCCAGGGAGCGTTCCCAGCCTCGCACGGATGAGGGAAGCGTGCGATGGTCAGTGAGGCTAGCTGCTCTAGAATGTTGCAGAATGCAGGGTAAAACAAGGTGATTTCTTGAGCACTGGGGCAGGATTCAAGTAGGAGTTACAGAAATGCGAAAACAGGTGCTTGCCCAGGAAAAGAAAGGTTTCCCAAACCATACTGACACTGCGGTAATCTTTAGCCATTCTTTAGTAGAAAGAGGTGGTAAAGAAAAACAGCAAGCTCTGTTCAAAAAAACTTTCACCTGGACTCATGAACACAAATTTGTAAACATAAACTTGGGAGGAATTAAGGCTTCAACCTCTCCCAGTTTCCTATGAGTGAAGGACCCAAGGTCGCTCGCAAGGAAAGTTTATTGTGTGCCTGAATCTTTCAACTCCAGGAAGGCAAGCTATTCCTGAAGATGACCTAAGTTTCAACTGATTCAAGGATTCTCAGCCCTTCCGCCCCCCACCTCTTCCCAGAAGAGCGAGCAATCTCATGTGGAAGCAATGGGAACATTCCGCTGAGGTAGGGGTGCAAAGGGGAGGAGGAAGCTTTGAGGTATGAGGAAGGAGCTCTATTTCTATGGTTTGATGAGAAAGAAAGGAGTCTGTATCCTGCCTGATTTCGGCTCTGCTGGAGGGCACACTGAAGATTATGCGAAGAGGCAAGTTTTAGGGAAGAGGGAAAGAAGAGTCATGGTCTTGTTTTATAACTCTCATCCCCACTTTCTTACCAAGTTTCACATTTGCTGCAGAATAAATAAAAGGTACTGAAGTTGTGAGCCAATAGGCCTTAAGATATCCAAGTAATGCTGGGGACTCAATAAATGCATCCATCTTCCGGCTTTCAAGGTCAAAGCAGCACCAGAGCGCAGCAGCATACCTGAAGCAACTCTGCCATTGAAAAGCCCTTTATGATCCATTGCTGGCCAAGTTTATACCACACTACCCAGGGAATGGCACACACAAGCATGTCTGTACTTGAGTAACAGCTAATTCTGAGGTGAAGCTGCAGAGGAAGGTCACATGCTTCTTAACACCAAGGCAAGACATGGAACTACTGCAGCGTGTGTCTTAGTTCCCTCTCAGTGCCCGCTGGAGCCACAAGGGGATTGCTATTGCACATACAGTGTAAAGGGAAGAATAAGTTCCCCTACGGTACAGGAAACCCAAGTAGACAAGTATACAAGCACAGGAAACAGCCTTCCTCGGCCTGCAGGAGGGAGACAGCGGTGGAGTGGGAAGCAGAGGCAGCGAGGATGGCAGTGGTGATGGTGAAACCCAGAAGGCAAGCGTCGGGCATGCATGAGGACTAGCATCCTGCTTGAGTGATTACTGCTTGGTGGCCTGATGCGCTTGATCAGACAATCAAAACAAAAACAGAAATTATCCCAAGTGAGCAGGGTTGTCAAAAGCCAAACACAAGAAGCTCTGTCGAGGTGAACACAGCTTACTCACAAAGCTCATGCTGGGAGTCACAACTCTCTAGTCTCATGCTGTCGCCTTTCATGCTCTGAGGCCCCTTTATTAACCAACTTTCATTTTTCATTTTAATCTATATTATACAATACTGGGTTCTGAAAGTGGGGCCTATAACATGAGGAAGAGTCTACCGAACAGCTGACCTTCTTGTACTGGCTTCTGAAACAGACCTTCCCCTTTAAGAAGGAAACAAACACATTCCCTTCCTACCAGAAATTAGCTCCTGGGAAAAGCTGACTATAAAAACTAGGAGAATACATAGTGCATTTAGTCCGTTTTAGTAATAAAATGTTTAAGAACATCTGTAATACAGATATTTCTGAGAACACTGTGCGCCTTCCAGTATATGCTGACTCACCTCTAAACCTTTCTCAGTTCTGCTGTAAAGCTCTCAAAAGTAGTGTATGCTCTACCACCAAAAATCTCTTTTTCCATTTTCTTGTGCCATAATACCTGTCCCCATGTTGCCAGAGCCTAGTAACAATAACCTATTAGCAGCCACAACTTACTGCCCAGTATACCCTAAGTAGAGTGTTTTCTGGTTGACCCTCTGGGTGGCCTGCAGGGTTGGTGAACCGTCTGCACTTTAATGAAAGAGCAACAATCTAAGAAGCCAAACTCTATAGTGTCACGTTTCTTGCCTCACCAACCTAGCAGACATGTGTGCTTTGACCACTGCTGATTTTCCAGTGGCGGGCACATATTCGCTGACTAAAGAACTCTTTCTCCAAGGAGTCAGGAACCCGGGATCTCTGTGCATATCCATGGACACATCCAGCCATAACCGTCACAGAGGCAGGCTCCTGGGTCACCACTGAAAACACTGACTGTGAGGTGGTTTCTTAATCTGGACGGATAGCCACTCGTCAGCAATTAAGCATGTTAAAGAATATTATTAGAAAAGGGTACGGAACTAGAGAGATGGAAGTTGAGAATCAGTGAGTTGTGAGGCTTCAGGGTTCAAAGAGCTCATGGATAACAGGCTTTGCGATCAAGGACCAAAAATAACAGAAAAAAAAGATAATTACTACAGAGCTGGTTGCAAGGACAGACTTTTTTCACCATCTTCCCTGAAGCACAAAGAGAGAGCAATGTGTTAAAAATAAAGAAACATCAGTGTAAAATATTTAGATCTCCAAACAGCACACAAAGTCCCAGCAAGAGAAAGCAGGAGGGGAGACAGACTGGTAGGACCTGGAGCCCTTGCCAGAGATGTAGTTCTATGCGCTGTACCTTCCTGGCCTTTAGCCTTAACTTGGTTATCTGATGGACTGTGGTACCTGGCTGACAGAAGCTGAGTTTCCATACCCAATCTTTGTATCTAGAAGAGTAATGCCCTGCATTAAGGTTCTGGGATGGAGGGTGGGGGGCGGGGGGCACTCCAGTCTCTCAGATCTCACTGCTTGAATTTCAAATACCCAAGCAGTCTTTCCATTGACCCTGTCCCACTTTCTGTTTCTCCTGCTGGGTTGTTAAAAAGCACTCAATTAAATGCATTAGCAATTCCACCACAGTAGGCTGAGAGTACCACTGTTACAGTTTTCACATAATTTAAATTGGCTAATACATTTCCACATCCTAGACATACATACTAACGCTTTCCCCTCTAGAAAGGTCTTTAAAAAGTATATGGAAAACAAGCAACTTTTGAACATAAATAAAGCATTAAGGCAAGCCATGCTTCCAAACCATTATCTATTTTGAGAGCATAGAATAATGCATTCAAAACTATTAAGACCTCCATGCCTATAAGCACCTGTTTTTTCTTTCCACATTTGCTTTAAATCTGCCTCTCACAATTCGTTCACCAAGGCTTATAAGATATACACTGATGTGCCTTCAACAGATGGTAGGGCCTCATTTTAGACCCAGAAGGAAGAGGTAAGAGTTAATATTTTGAAACACTTTCATTTGAACAACAGTGTAAAATACCACCTACCTTTAAGAGTGTGATGAGGCTTTACTGAACTAATTTGAAGTGGTACATGTCACATTACAAAAGGCCTTGGTTCTCATTATTCCCTCTTAGACATTTCAGGGGATATAACATAGGCCAGACAGGTCACACTCTACTTTGAAACACTTGTCTCCTGTTAACATCTTTTCATCTTTCTAGCTGGACATATTCATTATATGCTTATTTAAGTGTCACGATGCTGATATGCTTGGTCCAGGCTAGTTTTTCCAGAAAGTTATTGATCCGAATGCTGAAATATCACACATGCTTCCAAAACTACCAAACTGGCTAATGTCTTCCACATCCTTTGTCAAATAGCTCTGGACTAGTGATGTGTGAGGGAGGCCCAAGGACCTCAGAACCATACTCAGAAACAATGATGGCCTCTTAGCACATGCATTTAACAAGCACTTCAATAACCACATCAGAAGTTTGAGGCCTTAACAGAGATCTTTATCTAAATTCTAGCAAAAGGTTTTCTACATGAACCTTATTTTTGTTTATTAAATTTCATTTCAATATACATTTACTGATTACTATGCCACATAGACACTGGCCAATCATAGGGAAATTGTGAGCTTCCCCAGTGCTGCTTTAGCAACTTTATCTGATTTGTACAACCCTAGAAGACAGGCATCATCTCCATTTCACAGATGGGGAAGATGGCTGGAGAAGTTGGGTGACTTGCTATTGTGTCTTATTTTTAAGAAGAAAGCTGGAAAATCCCAGCAATTACTGCATTTTGCCATGTATATAATGCATACTTTTTTTGCCCAAATCTTTTGGGGGAAAAATAAGGATGCACATTATACATGGGCAGTACCTGAAATACCTTGCATCTGTTCTTGTGTTTTGTAATTATTTGTTACATAAAATTTCTTGTACCATAATAGGTTCACAAATAAATGCTAAAATTCCTTTATAATACAAAAAACAAGTATCTAAATATAAATAAATACATACATACATACATAGATACACACATAATTGAATTTCAAAACTGAAATGAAAGATTTCTTTCCTGAAAGTTTGGGCCAAAAACACGGGTGTGCACGACACACAGGAGCGCATTATATACAGCACAATATGGTAAGTTAAAAAGGCCATTTTCACTTGCAGGTGCTTGGTTTTGGTCTTAATAGAATAAATGCTTTATAAAATAACTACACTGGAACCCTTTCAACCTCTGATTTTATGAAGTTAGAAGGTAGTGGTGGTGAAAGGATTCACTGAAGAAATTCTAGCATCTTTTCAACTGACAGGTGGTTAGGCTTGGTCGATCAAAAAAAAATTCCAACCTCCTCTGAAAAATAGAAAAATAAGGTAAAACTTCTACCTGCTGCCAGAATCTAAGTGCCTCAGTGGTCAAGATGCTTTCTCTCACTTCCAGTGACAAAGCAAGGGACAGCACTGAAGGGACTATGAAGTTCAGTCTTCATTATTCTAAAGGCCCCAGCAGTCTATGTAGCCTGACACTGTATCTTCCCTGTCATGGATCTATAAAAAAGCAATTCTGCCAGAAAATTGTTTTGAAATTTATAGAAACCTATTATTTCTACATCTTTTATCATAATTAACACAGGGACCCAAACTTCTGAGGGTAACAGTAGTTCAGCCAAGCCACGGAGTAGATGATATACAGAGACAAATGAAAATGAACTGTATGAAACAGCAGATCCAAGCAGCAGAAAAACAAGGACAAGGAAGGAGTAAAGGTGTTACACACAAAGAGCCAAGCAGGGCGTACTCAGAAATCGGGTCCTCCTGCCACCAGGTTTGAATGTCACCTGCTCAGATGCACAGTTAAACTTCGCACAGCCTGTGAGGGGGGGAAAACAGGGAAGAACAGAGAGAAGAGACAGAACACAACTACATGATGTTAGAAACTGGGGGCTGGAGTGGTGAAATGCACTACAATGGCACACAGAAGAACAAGCTTCTAGGGAAAGGTCAGATATACAGGATAGGAAAATTAGGCCTCAATTCCCTCCATCTGCAAAAAGCTGAAGCTCTTTACAGTGGGAATAATGCTAGCTAGTTCGCACTCTTACCAACAAGTCCATTTATCTTGTGAAGAGACAATCTAACCTCTAATTTTCAGCAATATTGTGGCAAAAGTATCTACACCAGCTATCCATGTTTTTTTCTATTCTTTTCCACCCAGACACCCAACTCCTTTCAAGTCTCCTTCTAATGTTACTAGAAGCTCTTTCCTCTTCAGGAATGTTTTGAATGAGCATTAATAAATAAAACCAAATTGGAAAGGTAGATTTTATACATAAAATTGAGTTGTAGGGCTATGAGTTCATCTTTGCATGCTACTCCTATACTTAGAAGTTTAAAAAGTCTACAATGGCAAATCCCAAATGAGTCCTTCATATTGGTCACAGATGGTAACTTTTTGCTGGAATCCCTTGAAAAGAAGCTATCTCACCTGATGGAGTGCTGAGCACACCTCATCTAATCATCACCCTCCAACCATTCAGCCCAAAGATCCTTGGAAGTGTGCAACACCCAAGCAATGATCTGGTCAGGTGGTCTTCCAAGCCACCTTAACAACAGGCTACTCCTCATGCTTTTGTCCTGGATATGGCAATATCTCCTTTTAATGTTTTTGGAAGATGATGGTTTCTTTCATTTCTTACCTTGACCTGGAGCAGAAAGGCTTGGTACTGAAATGGCACCATCACTGGTGAAGGCTGAATAGAGGTTGTCACTGGAGGGAGATGGCTTAAGGGGCTGTAAGAGCTGATTCTGCCCAGTCTCTGGGATGCTGCCAGGAGGCTGGAGCGTCTGCTGGGGGTGCAGGACTGAAGCTGCTCCCTGGCCAGACGAATTACCTGCCAGAAGATAAGATGGCATGAGGAAACCTGCAGAGCTTTCCCAACGCACTTAACGGGCACTGTCCTTATTCCTCCACTTTGTCTCACTGAGTGATTAATGGGTCAAAAGCTATAATGAATGAACTAGCAGGAGGGGAAGTGAGGGATAACATGGGAATCAACAGTTAATACGGCGACAGGAAACTACCCTGAGAGATTTGTATCTTTAGATAACCTAGATAGTTCACAAATCTCACCTGCATAAGACTAGGATATGTAGTAGATACGAGAGAATTCCATTTCGCCGTTCCACAACTGCCTTTTGGATCATCATACAAATAGGTTTGGCAAGCAGTATCTACTTAATTTTTCTTGTAAGCAGGTGTCAGATCAAGTACAAAAGAGGAATCAAAAACTGATGTAGGTGACTATAGTAATGCATATTTAAAATTATTCTTGGTAGCTGGCCTTTGGTCACTAGTCAAGTGCCTTGAAATTAACTAATTTCTCCATTCCCTAGTAACTAGTGGAATAGAAGTCCACTCCAAAAAATATGGATCAGAATCTGAATTAGCTGGTACTCCTATAATCACATCTACTATAATCTCTACTACTGAATTGTTTCTAATATATTAGAGGAAAGTTGGGTCTCTAAAAGCTTCCAGAGAAGGAAAACTGTTAAGGAGTTTGCAACTGTTCTCCTACATATTTATATTAGACCTGCAGAGCAAATATGAGCATAACTATTTTAGACTTTCTCATTTTTCAACTGATTATCTGTCAACATTACCATAATCACATCAGAGGGTAAATAAAAATTGTCTATCACAATCAAAATATACCTAATATTCATTATAAGAGATTATGATTTAACTATTTCTTTTCAATTACAAACACCGAGAAGTTCCTTATTCCAATGCAGGTAAATGAAATAAAAACTTCAAAGAAATTACCACTTAAGACATACTCAAGTACCTATATGAAATTTATATTCATCCCAATTGCAATTATGACCCAGTTGCATTCATTAAAAGAAAGAACCTAACTGAACTCTACTAAGTAGAAATCAATGTACTTTCTTCCAAGTGTCCAAAAGTTTGGGGAAATATATGAGATATGAGTTACATTTAGCAAATATAAATATAATTAAAAGCTAAATGTTTTATCCATAAGAACAATGATAAATAAAGACTACTAATAGATAGCAATACAGATGACAATGGAATAGGCCATCGTACTCGCCTAGTCTACTTCCACAGACTAAAAAAAGAGGTACTATATATATATATATATGGGGAGTAGAGAATTAAGGAAGTAAGAATATTAGGAAAGTCAATCAAGCTCTTTTGGAATTTAACAAAAATAACAAGTGTTCAATAGGTTATATTTACTGTTGGAAACAGAAACAACAGATAGGACAGCCACAGCAGACCTGGTCCAGGGCTGTTTACCTGAAAGCTGGGGGCTTTTATTCCCCAAGGAACTGTTGCGACTAGATTTGCTGCCTTTGCTTTTAGTGGGTCGCCTCCTTCTCCCGGAAAGGGGGGCAGCTGGGGGAATAATGACGGCAGGGGGAACCTTGCCCAGTTTGGTATACAAAGATTCAATTTCATGCTTCTGGCGACTTTGCAGGTCTTGAATCTCTTTAAGATGTCTATGAAAGATAACCAAACATAATTAAAAAATATTACAACCACCTTTGTTTAAACAAAAATCAACCACATATTCTTTAACCTCCATTCAAGTGTTTCCATACTTTTGAATCTTTTCCCCAAATGTATTTAATCTAACTTCTACTACCATGAGATTCTAGTTTGTCTACTACCACGGAGGCCTTGCCGGCCTCCATTACTCAAGTCAAAATCCAACAAGTTCCCAGCCAGCAAATGGTTGATGTGTTAGGAGAAAAAGATTTCCTGGCTTTTGAGACTATACACAGGAGTACTGCATTTGCTACTCTGATTTAGTCTGTCAAATACGACCAACAAAACCTTCCAACATAATCTACATTAGGCTAATGGTGATATAAAATGATATTAATAAAATAATACAGTAATGATAATATGAAGGTGCTGACGAAGTTCTATAACTAGAACTGCTGTGGGTCCTTATGAGTACGGGAGCCCCAGTGAGAACTGCATTCGTAACTACCTTATCACCCTCTCTTTAAAAAAAATGAGACATAAGCATATTGTAGTAAACAGAATACTAATATAGGCACCAGGAGTTAGGTCTTAATTCTGCCATTATTCTTTTGTAAGAGAAAACATACTCACTTTTCTCGTAGCCGTCGCAGCTCTAACTTTAAGTCTTCATCTTCAATATCTGACTCATTGTCACTACTCATGTAAGAGGAATTGAGCGAGTTACTAAGGCTTTGACTTAGATTTTGGATAGGGAGGCTCCTTGAGCTCAGTTGATGGGGGGAGTGTGGACTCCCTGAACCATCATCCATATCCCTACTTAAGAAGGCAGCCTCCAAGTCAGAAGATGGCCCATTCAGATGTGAAGGCTCTGATAGTTCAGGCTTTTCTTTCTTTGGTATCACAGCAGGAAGAACAGCTTGTTCCAAATCCACAAAAGGAGGAGATGTCATTGGTCCCTCTTTCTTTGCCTCAGTGGTCTTATCTTCAGTTCTTGATACAGAGAAACGACCTACTTTGTTTGCTGTCGTTGTCACCTGAAAACGTCCAACCTTGGTAGGCTGCCCAGTTTCTGACTTTGCTTCTGAGGCAGGAGTTTTGTGGACACCATCTGGGATATCTGAAGAGATACCATGGATGGTTAGCCCAGCAGGGTCTGGCTTCACCAGGGTACTCTCTGGACTACTACTTGATAGCACTGAAGACTCTGAAGTGCTGGATTCAAAATGAACAGACTTTGTATCTTCTGACTTATTTTTACCCTCTTTCTGGGCATCATCCATTGCAACTGAAACCTGACAGAAAGAGACCAAAGTGAGACTTTAAAAAAAAGGCCCCAATATTTAATTTTTAGAATGGACCATAAAAATAAACAAATAAATAAAGGAATCACTTTATTTCCTAGTCAGTAAGTAGGCCGATTATTTGTTTACATAGTCCCTCCATTTTTCATTGTGAAAATAAACAGAACACCATTACAGAGAACCATGTATCTTTACTGAGATGTACAGTTTACACATAGATTCTGAGTGGCTGGCTAAGCGTACTAAGTAAATTACTTTCATGTCACAGGACTCACATTCAAATCTTAGTAAAAATGTAAGTAACAGCTGGTCACAGAGTTTTGAAGGTTGCTTGTAAATAAGAAAAACTAGAAAGATTAAATCCAATGCATGTTAAATGCCAGCTAAGTTTCAAGAATCAACATGACCAAATGCTATCCACAACTCTAAGTGCTATCATGAAAATGTTAACCCTGAGAAAGATACCAACTGAGAAGGGCTCCTGGTGGCTAACTGGTCTCAAATTAAAAAAAACAAAACAAAACACAAAACACAGAACCTAGCAGCCATTTATTCCTACATTAGGGCCTCTCATGGAAACTGTAGTCTAGGGAGAAGCCTGTACTGACCTACCTCCTTCTGCACTACCTGTCTGCACTGTGTTTTTGCCGTCTGAGCCATCCCTTATAAAGGAGTTCCTGGAGTCCTGTTTCAACCAATAGGACTGAGGCGCTCCCCATCCAATGAGAGCTGAGCAGTTATAGGCCCATCAACTTCTTCAGCAACCAATCAGAGCAGCTCTATCCTGACCAATCAGGACAGTGTCTTTTGGATAAAACTTCCAGGATTTGGAGTACTCATTTGCATAAGGATGACCAATCAGTGACCAGGGGCAGGGACTTCTGTCCATCCAAGTCAGCTCCCTTCTGGCTCTGGGAGTACACTTTCCCTTTCCAGTAAAGACTGAAGACTGTGTTTCCCTGATTGAGATGAAATCCTAGAGATATCCTGCTGGAGAAGAACAGGGAAGACCAGAGCAACACAGCGCAGACCAGCAAGGAGCAGAGCAATCTAGCAAAGAGGGGCCTGGCACCAGTGCTGCCTTGTAGGCATTCTGTACTGTATTACAACCGTGCTGTTTTGCACTGAATAAAGTTTTTTTTTTTCATTGCACTCTAAACTGAGGCTTCCTATTGGTGTTGAATTGGTGCTAACCATAGGTTGACGAGAATAACTGGAAGGTAGTTGTTAAAGCAGTATTAAAAATTATTTTCAAAGCTTGTTTGGCACTACATGCTAAGAACCAGAAAATGTTCACTCATTGGGCCAAATGGGAAAATAAAATGATGTACCACTTGACGCTGACCCAGTATTTTCACTTCAGAAATTAATCCTAAAATGGTAATCCTAGATGTGAAAAATATTTTTATGTACAAAGATGTTTATTGCTACTTTAGTTATGTAGGAAAAGCAACCTCATGACTAACAACTGGATAATGATTAGGTGAAGCAGGGTCAATTTTAGATATACACATGTACAGGAAAAAAGGAATGGAAGGAAATATATCCCCAAGAATAATCCTGGGGGAAACAGTAAAAGCTATAAAGTGCTATACAAAAGAAATATATTATCAAACTGGCAACTTTGTCCCAAAAGGTAGGTAATAATTTTATTGAATATACATTCCCCCCCAAAGGGAATCAAAGCAAGGAAAAGCGACTCTTACCTGAAATCGCCCCGTCTTAAAAACACCAGTTCCTGAACTAGTTGCTGTGACTTGAGACACTGAAACAAATAAATGAAGTAGGAAAAGAACTTAAATTAGTATCTTTGGCTAGCTTCTTTTCCCTTTGGCCAGAAATACAGCAAAAGGAAACTACGTATCAGATGAGGACAGTTGTTAGAGGCAAGCAAAGTTTCTTTACCTCCCTTTATCCTTAGGTTTTGTTCAACAAGGGGAAAGTTTTTGTTTGCTCTCCTATACAAGATCCCTTTAGTATGAAAGATTATATTGGTCGGGAAAAATTGTCCAAGTCTGAAAATTTACCATTGACCCTCTACCTTTACTTATACATGTATGTTGATATGGTATTGTTTGAAGGAGTAAGTTACCTACAGAAGTCCTCCTTATCCACTGGTTAACTTTCAGTGGTTTCAGTTACTCATGGTAATTCCAAGTATATATATAGAGAGAGAGAGAGAGACAGAGAGAGAGAGAGAGAGAGAGAGAGAGAGGACATTCACCTATCTTTTATTATAGTATATTGTTAGAGTTGCTCTATTGTTTATTAGTCATTGCTGTTAGTCTCTTATTATGCCTAATTTAAAAATTTAAACTTTATCATTCATATGTATGTATAAGAAAAAAACCACAGTATAAATATAGGGTTCTGCACTATGGAGAGTTTCAGGAATCCACTGGGGATCTTGGAATGTACCCACCACTGAAAAGGGGGAAGTACTGTATAACCAAAGCAGCTTAACTACAATATTAAGAGACACTATAAAAACTAAGGTTAACAGACAGATATACTTGGTTATTCATATTCAAAGATATAAATAAATGAAGGGAACAGTAAGACTTTTACCTAGGATATTAAGACCCATTTTTAAAACAAAACCCAGCTATGACAAACAAGTTAGGTAACACTTAGGCAAAATTCTAGAACAAGACAGTAAAGGTGTCAGAATCACCAGTAAGTAACTTGGAAGTCACCTACGTCCTCTCTAGGGACAATCACTTGTTTGAGTTTCTTTCCAGAGATAATGTAGAATCTATACTAGCATTTTTTTTATTTTATACAACCAGAAGAACACTGATTTGGATATTTTTATTTAATGATATAACTTAGAGATCATTCTGCATCAATGTCTCATTCTCTTTAATGGATGCATAGCATTGTACTATATGCACACAACATTTAGATACAAATTTTTATTTTATTTTAAATTTTAATTTATTTTTTCAAATACATTTGTCTCTGCCTCCCCGCCACCACTTTCCCTTGCCCCCTTCCTCTTTCCCTCCCTCAGCTCTTCCCCTTTGATTTTGTCCATGAGTCCTTGCTGTATGTTCCTTGACTTTCCCCTTCCCTTCCTTTTCCCCACCCCCCCCCTTCCCTCTTGTTTCTGTTGGTTTCTTTTCCTTTCAGTGTTGCTGGTCTTATTTTCCTTGCATCTTTGTATTGTTGGTTAGGTTCCGCTTATAGGTGAGATCATATGGTATTTGTCTTTCGCCCCCTGGCTTATTTCGCTTAGCATAATGCTCTCCAGTTCCATCCATGCTGCCGCGAAGTTTACTAGTTCTTTTTTTCTTTCTGCTGTGTAGTATTCCATTATGTATATGTGCCATAACTTTTTGATCCAATCATCTACTGATGGGCATTTAGGTTGCTTCCAACACTTGGCTATTGTCAATTGTGCTGCTATGAACATTGGGGTGCTATATAGGTTCTTTTGTATTGGCGTTTTGGTATTTTTAGGGTATAGTTCCAGCAGGGGAATCACTGGATCAAAAGGCAGTTCCATTTTCAGCTTTTTGAGGAAATTCCACACTGCTTTCCACAATGGCTGCACCAGTCTGCATTCCCACCAACAGTGGACTAGGGTTCCCTTTTCTGCACAGCCTCGCCAGCACCTGTTGTTTGTGGATCTGTTTCTGATGGCCATTCTGACCGGTGTGAGGTGGTACCTCATGGTGGTTTTGATGTGCATTTCTCTGATGGCTAGTGATGCTGAGCATCCTTTCAAATGCCTCTGGGCCCTCTGTATCTCCTCCTTGGAAAAGCGTCTGCCCAGGTCCTTTGCCCATTTTTTGATTGGATCGTTTATCTTCTTGGAGTGGAGTCGAGTGAGTTCTTTATATATCTTGGAGATCAAACCTCTATCTGATGTATCATTAGCGAATACATTTTCCCATAGGGTTGGCTCCCTTTTCATTTTGCTGATGTTTTCTTTTGCCATGCAGAAGCTTCTTATTTTGATGAGGTCCCACTTGTTTATTCTTTCCTTTATGTCCCTTGCTTTAGGAGACATATCAGTGAAAAGATTGCTGCGTGGGATATCTGAGAGTTTCCTGCCAATGTTCTCCTCTAGGACTTTGATGGTGTTGCGACTTAAGTCTTTTATCCATCTTGAGTTTATTTTTGTGTATGGTGTCAGCTGATGATCTAATTTCAATTTTTTGCATGTAGCCGTCCAGCTCTCCCAACACCATTTGTTGAAGAGGCTATTACTGCTCCATTTTATGCTTCTGCCCCCTTTGTCAAATATTAGATGCCCATAGAGACCTGGGCTCATTTCTGGGCTTTCTATTCTGTTCCACTGGTCTATGGGTCTGTTCTTGTGCCAGTACCAGATTGTTTTGAGTGCAGTGGCTTTGTAGTAGAGTTTGATGTCCAGTATCATGATCCCTCCTACTTTGTGTTTCTTTGTCAAAATTGCTGCGGCTATTCGGGGTCATTTATGGTTCCATATAAATTTTTGAAATGTCTGTTCTATTTCTGTGAAATACGTCATTGGTATCTTAATAGGGATTGTGTTGAATCTATAAATTGCTTTGGGTAGTATGGACATTTTGATGATATTAATTCTTCCAATCCATGAGCATGGTATATGCTTCCATTTATTTGTGTCTTAATTTCTTTTTTCAATGTTGTATAGTTTTCTGCGTACAGGTCTTTTACGTCTTTGGTTAAATTTATGCCTAGGTACTTTATTTTTCTTCTTGCTGTATCGAATGGTATTTTTTTTCTGATTTCTTCTTCTTCTATTGCATTGCTGGTGTACAAAAACGCCTTTGATTTCTGAATGTTGACTTTGTAGATTAAAATTTTTAAATGTACCACATTTTAAGAATGTTTCTACTGATGAACATTAAGTTATTCAAACTTCTTGTCATTATAAAAATGCTCTAATAAACATTTTCTTTTAGATATGTGGAGGAAATACCTAAGAATGGAAGTGCCAAGTCATTTCCATTTAAAACTTTAACAGACATTACTAAATTTATCTCCATAGAGGCTGTGCCAAATCATCGGTGCATATTAAATTTCCGAATTTACCAATGAGAAATAAGAAAGGCTATCACTTGTAGTTTTACTTCCCATTTCTGTTATCATAAAGGAAGTTAAATATTTTCATGCCTAAGTTTCTTTTTTCTGTATCTTTTGATTATTTTTTGGTCCATGCTAAATTTATAGAACTCCTTATATTAGCAAAGTACCCCTTTTTGTGATATGAATACACACATACATTTCCCAGTTTTCATTTATCTTTAGACCTAATGGCATGTTTTTTCCATGCAGAAAAATTTAAATCTGTTAGCGCTTCTGGGTTGTGTATTAAACATAACACCTTTCTCCATATGAGGCATCAGGCAGCTATAATGTATGGACCAAATTCAACCCACTGCTTGTTTTTGTAAATAAATTTTACTGGAACACAGACACTCACTTATTTAGGCATTGCCTGTCAATGCTTTTAGGCTACAATAGATCTGAGGAGTTGTGACAGAGGCTGTACTGCTGGCAAAGCCTGAAATATTTACTTTCTTGCCTTTTACAGAAAAAGTTTGTTGATCCTGCTCGAGTTTAAAAACAAAATTCCTTTTATGTTTTCTAACAGTACCATTTTATGATACCATTTTCTATCTCTGATCCATTTGGAATTTATTTTGGTCTAAGGCTGGCAATCTATCCTTGCTTTTTCCCAGATGGCTGTCCAGTTGTCGCAAACCATTTAATGAAATATCCCATCACTTTATGAATTAAAAGGCCAGCTTTTTCATATTCTACATTCCCTTATACTTTTTCCATTCTTAGACTTTATAATTTGTTCCAGTGATTTTTGAGTCACTTATTTTAAAAAGAGAGCCAATTCCCTTGAAAATATTTTAAGGTTTTAAGTGAAATTTAGCATTTAAGAAAGACAGGAAGAAGAGCATTTAGGTAATCTTATTTATAGTTATACAGGAAGTACATTTGTGTCTGGTGGAATTGAGAATAGATATATTATAAAAAAGGGAAAATTAATATTAAGCATGTGCTATTTAAAAACCACACTGCGTAAGTATAGCTCACATTTAAGTATTTTCACTTTTAAATTTGATTCTGAAGGAAAAGGCAACAAAACATAGAACTTTCAAATTTCCTAGGTTCTGTGGGACTGATGATTTTGTGTAGAGACTCACTATAAAACTTTAAAACAGCAGTAATTGATGTGAACTTATGACTAAGCACATGGTGAAAAAAGTCCTAATAAAATATTTAAGTTGCTGATATAAATAACTTTTGCAAAATTAAGTTGGAACTATGCCTTCCTAAAGAGATTATATTTTATGGGCATGCCAACATTAAAGACTCAAAAAATAGACAAAAATAATGTTTAAATTGATTAATTGATATCTTACATTTGTATTTCTACCATCCATGCTATTCAAGTTTATCTCTATCTCTATATATTCAGTGTCACAAAAGCCAAGAGGTTATCGGTAAATTAACTTTTATATATATGTGTGATCTTCCTTGTCTGTCTTAGCAAGAATCTAGCCTAGTTAATAACAAAGGGTTTTATGCTAAGAAACTGCCACTACCCCTTGCATTGTTCCCCTCAACAATAAAAACAAACAAAAAAAGTAAAAGATTCATTAATTTGCTAATATTACATGCTCTTGGATATTAGCATCAGTGGTCCTTGGTCATGAAATACATAAAAATGTGCTTTAAAATAGTCTCAAGTACACCTACATTCTGAAGAGTGTGTCTCTGAAACAGTAACCTTTAAAATCAATTCTAGGGAAGTTTGGAAGTGGTAATATAAGAGGAAGAAGGGTGCTTCTCACCATCCTTCTGAGGCTGTGCTCCTGCTTCTGTAACTGCTGTTGGAGCCACCACGGACACAGACTGCAAAACACATACAGAGACACCACAAAATCGTTAGCTTCAGTCACTCTTCAAGTTTTATCCTGCTGCCCTTCCTCTGGTGTTTATAAAGGGCAGACAGAAAGATAGTATATTGTGAACAAACACTTATGCCTGAGGAAATTTTCTTTTTCTTTTTTTTGACAGCCTAAAAATAAGTCTAATGTAAAAAGAGATTTTAAAGAAGAAATTGAGTCTTAACCCTTCTATACTGCTTTATTAACTTTTTTCTCTGGTATACTTTTGAATATATCTTCAATATTCATGGAAAAAGTAGTTTTAATCAGAACATTATTGTGTCAACACACCTAAAAGGAAGAAGTTAAAACTTTAAAGTATAGCTTCCTCCAAAGCACAAATACGAAATTCACAGGATTGGTCTGTGGTGTAATTCTACACCACAGAGAAGAAAGAAGAGCATCTTTCAAATTATGTATTTTCCAGTTATACTACTGGGTCAGTGTTCATTTTTCATTAAACTCTCTCATTTCTGTTGGCAGGAACAAGCAAAGACTAAATAGGTGTTGAAGGTATTAACAGTCTAGGTTACAGTTTATGTTCTAGGAATACAATGTATTAGGGTTATGGAAATATTTCATTAAGATTTTCAAAACTTACACCCGCTGCAGATGTCACCGCAGTAGTCTCTGGACTAAGTGCTCTTCTCAGCTGAGCATCAAGGTCTTCCAGAGGTTGCTGAGGCTGAATGAAAACAACCACAGTAATTATAGGTCTTTGGCATATTCAGTCTCTGTATATGCCCCCTTTATGTAGAACACACTGTTGTATGCTTTAGATTGACCCAACATAACATGTGTCCATTCACTGAACATAAAACTCAGCATACTAAGTTCAACTCAGTTGTATTGCTTGAATGATTTACCAGTCTCTCAAAATTTTATTTCAACCTTTCAAACCTTAGAATCGTCATATATTTTTTACAGTTTCTAAGTCTTCTTTTTCACTTTTTATGTTTAATGTTACTTTAAGTGTTAGAAAAGCTGTTTATTTGTCCTCTCCTTAAAAATATGTTCTGAAAAATGTATCAAGATCTGTTGGTAGAGTAACTGTATCACCTGTTCCCTATTTTCTTTTTCAGTTTGGTACATCTTTCTGAGAACTTGTACTTACAAATAAAAGATGGCATTAGTATATTCTATCACTATCAAAGGATATTATTTCTTTCTTTAGCTATTAACAATCTATACTCTTATACCCTATAGATGGCAGCAAGGAAGAACTGGACATCTAAGTATTCGATCCTATTTACCAGGCCTTATTACCACCCACCCCAAGGCCGTAACTTTTATCCTTTGCTAGAGTCTAAATATACATCTGTATTAGCTTCCATCATCCTATTCTTCTATAGTCTTTACTTATGTTTTTCCCTGTTTATATGCAGGCACTACCCACTTACCTTTCCCCTTCCATGTCTTATTGCTGTTTCTTATCACACTTAAAGCCCTCTTAGAAATCTGAATACATGTTTTTTAATGAGAAAACAGATTTAAAACTCCTAATTTACAGAGTTCCACAATGCAATTTTTTTCAAAGCTTAGTGGCTGATGGAGTGGGTTCTCTTTTGGAGTTATTACTTTATTATGACGAGTTCATTATATTAGGTTTTACTGTATATTTGAAGTAGAGATAAATTCAGACTTCTCAAATTAGCAATTTACTATGTTTTTCTTATATATGATTCTGAAACTAAATTATTTTAGGTTTTTAGTGTTAAAATTTCCTAATCTAGTTTTAACATTTACTAGCTTGATTCACAGAGAAACTTTTTATGGTTACATGGATGCATCATCAGTACTTCCTATGGGAATTCAACTAAATGTGTGGGGTGGTAGAGTAGAATGGGAAAGGGAAAAAAGTTTAAATACTGCAGGCAGGTCTGACCACCATATCCAATGGGCAGAAATGAGTGTGAGAAAGGAATCTCACATTCATGTCACTGGTCTCAGCTCCTCTATGAGGAAATCTCATGTCAGCTGAGCTCTGTGATTTTTGTATTTAAAGATAAATATATATGAGGTGGGATGCCCAAGAAAGTGAAATTATCTTCTAGAGGGCAGGCCCCTTGTAGTACAGGCTTCCCCCACTAGGTGAGTGTTTTGGGAACCCATCTGTATCAGCGCATCAGCTGGTGGTGTTGTGAGAGGCTGCATTTGGCCTCAGTGAATTTTTGTAAGACTCTTTCAATGCATTTGCCCGTTTCAGGAAGGGTGATTTATTAGTACACCTGCCCATACTACGCTGAGTGTTCAGCAGTTTTTGACCAAAAACGGCATGACTCCATGCCCTACTCTCCTCTTCACCTGATCTCGCCCTGAGTGACAAATTTTTTGTTTCCCTGTATTAAAAAAGTCCTCAAAGGGATAATTTTTGCCAATGTGGAAGCGGTGAAACAAAAAATGACAGAAGCACTAAAAGGCATTAAAATTGACAAGTTCAAAAACTGTTTTGAATGGTGGGAAAAAAGTCTCATAGGTGTATTGCATCTAACAGAGAGTACTTTGAAGGTGACTGAAATTGAAACGTGGGAATACACAATTTTTAATAAATAAATTCTGTTTTTTTGGGGCTCCCCTTGTATCTTTCACGAAACAGTACCCTTATACCCACCCATCTGTATGTAAGCCAATTACTTACTTAGGTGGTCGTTGAAAGAAATGTCAAATTCAAGAAAAAAACTGGCTGCACTTAACTCATAGAAAAAGGGTATTATCAATTATTAGTATGGTACCCTTTCCTAAGGAGCTTTCTAAGTTACTTTTGTTTACATGTAATTCTTTACTTCCATGATGATCTAGAATGAATTAGCTCATACTTGAGAGCAGTTATATTTCTCTGGCAAAATATCAACTTAGCTATTTTCTTCCTTTGTCAGATATGAAAAAATGTTAAATGTTTTCTAGATGACTTGAAGCAACATTATAAACAAATAATATGAAGCTTCTCACTTTAAATAGGGCCTGGGTCAGTTAGCTTCACTGTTAAAAGAAAAGCTGTTACAAAGTCAAAACCAAAGAGAAGCCAGAAGCCAATATGCCACTGTGGAGAAGCTTTGTGAAAGAAAGTAATAGGGGTTCAAAAAGAAATCTGCCCAGTCTTAGGGCACCTGAGTTAGTGATGGTCCCGGAAAAGGTGGCAGCTGCTCACTGGATGGAATACCAGCTGGAAGTTCAGTACCCAATGGCAGCACCTACAGACAACAAAGGGAAATTCAAGTCCATGAGACAGTAAGAGTAAAGACTGCATATTGGAGAACAAATCAACTAATTCAAATTCAGAAGCATAACAATAAATATATCTAGTTAAGGCATGCTTGTCACCTCGGTTACACTCTGGTAGCTACAGTAAATAAAGGACATTATAATCATGATGCTATTGGAGGCATTACTATGACATACCAATAAAAGGGATAGCAAAATTTAATAAGACGTTATTTTCTAGGGAAAATGGAGAGAACAAAGGCAGTGTTGACATGAGAGGCACAGTCCAGATATTTGTGAATCACTAAATTGGTTAAATAAGGCTTTTCCAAAAACAAACAAGACTTTTCTGAGAAAACAAAACAGTTCAGAAATAACAAAGGGGCAGATCTGGTAACAAAAAGCATCAGAAATCCAATATTATCAAATGATTTGTTCTTTTGTCTGAGAGAAGCCTCTATATTACCCTACTGTGAAAAGAATCTCCCATCAATGGCAATGCATAACCGCAGTGGAAAAAAAGTACAGCCTTGTTACCAGAGGTCAGAGAGAGTGAAAGATGGCAGAATGAGATGAAATCCACCATAACACAGTTAGAAAACACAATCTAGAGTATTTTATTCTTAGGAGTAGATTCTTTTCTTATCCTCTGAATCAAATTTACCACCAAGTTCCAATTTTTTATAAACCTCATATTGTACATCTGTGGAATCTAAGCAAAGAGGAAAATTTGCTTCATACTCATTTTAAAACAAAGATCACAAACTGCTGCTACTATATATAATTACCAGCGGAAGCATTTAGCTCTTTTCTGGGATACAGATTCCTTCAGTTTGAACCGATTAGGAATAAATGCCTATAATTTTACCTATTATAAATTCTTAGAAAATCATACAGTACAACTAACCCCAAAATCCTGCCATATTTCAAAAGGAAAACTCTCTCATGTTTAACATACATATATCCTAAAATCATCTTCAATCAATTTATTTAATAAATATCAAGTGACTACTATCAGCCAGGCATTTTTATAAATTCCTTTGTAATTTGCAAGGCTGAGTTGAAAAAATGCACTTATTAGAAGGAAAAAGTGACCATATTTATCAAACTATTTCAAAACAAGAATCTTACCGGAGCCTTAGTTAAAGGTGGCTTTGATGGAACAGTCCCAGGTTTTGCTCCTGGAGTAGTGCTGACTGGGGTAGAAACCTGCCCAGGTGTGACCACTGGTAAAACGGGCAAACCAGTTGCTCCTAAGGGCAAACTAGTTGGTGGTAAGCAAGTACTTGTAGTTGAAGTCATGAGTTTGCTGGGTGCAACAGCAGTGGTTGGGATGCTTGGTGTGATACTGGTCTCTACTACTAGTGATGTCTCCAAAGAGACGGAGGCATGCTGAGTTCCAGATGAGCTGTGTTCACTAAAGAGTGACCGCAGCTTTTCTTCTAGAGTCTTTATGTCATCAATCCCAGCTTTTGGTTGTTGTGTATCCGCATCTATTTCAGGACAGTGCGTATGTGGCTGGTTGGGAAGCAAAGCTGGTTGAGGCTGACTATGAATTAGTGTCTGCTGTACGGCAGGCACATTGGCAACAGGCTGTACCAAGGGTGGGACACTAGGTACTGGGGGTAATAACGGTGTAGAAGTGGGCCCTGCTGCTTGGGAGAAGACGGGAGTAGAAGCCATAGCTGAGGGGGTGACCAAAGGGTGCACTCCACCAGGCTGAGAAACAGAACTAGATACTAGTGCTCCAGTGGAAGAGGAGGAAGATGATCCAGAGAGGGATAAAGCCAATCCAGTTGAACTGCTATGAGATGTTTTATCAAGTGAGTGTGCACTAACCACCACTGTTTCAGCCAGAGTGGGAGCAGAGGTGCTGCTGCTAAGCTGAAGAGAAGGCTGTGGAGCTATGCTTGGGAACGGAGTGGTGGCAGAAATTGAGGTTAATGTGGCTGCCCCTGTAGTGCTGACTGCTGACTGCTGAGATAATACAGGTGAAGGCTTGGCCTCCGGGGCAGTAGCACTGCACGCTGCAGAGGCTGAGGTTGTTGAAACTGGCATAGAGGGAAAAGTGCCTGTACTAGAAACAATGCTCCCAGCTGTCAGAGCCTGAACTGACTGGGATGTTGCTGATGTTGAGACAACAGTAGGTATTGTGATGCTTGAGACCACGCTCGAAAGGACTGGTGATTCAGACGCAGGTGGTATAGGGAGACCACTTGAAGTTACACCTGTGCAGGTGGCAATCCCTTTCCCAGGAGGCACTGTAATCTCAGACTGAACTACTGATGTGGAAATGTCATTAAGAGGACAGCTAGTTACAGGCACTGATGCTGAAGGTGTGGTTCCCGCTGTAGTTGGGACTCCAGCTATGCTACCCATGGAAGGAGGCACTGCTGGAAATGTTGGTCCTGTATGACTAAAGTTGGGAGGCGCTGTATTGGGTCCTTCTGTCATCTGGGCATTTTTAAGTTCAGAAAAGGCCTGCTGTAGACTAAGGGATGAAGCAGAGTGAGACAAGTTCACTCCAGCACCATGAGACGTAGAGGCGGCAACTGCAAAGGAAAATAAAAAATTCAGAACCAGTCCATTTTAAGAGTGAATTTCAAAGACTGTCCTAACAATGTATTTTTGGATTATCACCACTGTGATATACCAACAAGGTTTAGAACCTCTCCCAAGGAAATGACAAGTTCTAAAACTGCAAAGTAGTTTGATCAAAATCTAAATCAGCATGTATATGAAGTAACTTCAAAGGACATACAATAGTACTTAAATGGAGAAACAAACACATACTACTGTCTGTATCTAGCTATGGTTATCCTTTTTGGCTCTTTCTCTTTAATCTTCTCTATTCATTACCTATTTCCTTCCTCCATATGTTTCTCTGTTGGTTAGAATACCAATTTTCTATTCTTCTTCATTGTCTATGTCATCATTTGAACAACTGCTAGATGACCAAGCTTCCTGTACAACAGGGATGCTGCAGAATTTATAGAACTATGTGGTAGAAGCAACTCCTTACCCGTATCTGATGTTTCACTGGTGAAAAGTTTTGACTCTCGTAATCGACTTTCTGGCACAGGACTTACTATAAACCGTCTTCCGGCAGAATGAACAACTTGAGTTAACGAACTGGTAGTAATGCCTGGTTTAAAAGAAACAAATCACTTCATTGCACTATTTTTATATATATTGCCACTGACATGAACCTTCAAAATTTCACCATTAGCACACAACTGCTTTGGTCAATGGTAAAAGCAAACATGGAAAGAAAAGAAATTCACCTATTTGCTGTGGCATGGAAGATGCAGGAAGTGGTTGTTTGAACTCTCCTTCCAATTTCTACAACAAACAAAAGTAATTCAATTCATTCTCAAATGTAAACTTAATTAGGCAAAACAAAGTGCCACACGCAAAGAGAACATAACTGTCTGATTATCTCAGAGGTGTAACGATATCACTGGACATTCTGCAGGGCAAATTCGGCACTACAGTAATATTTTAAACAAACAAACCAACCTTCGCTACGGGAATGGTGAACCTACTTGAGAACCTGAAAAGCCATAGTCATCCTTTCCCTGTAGACTCTCCAATCCCTGGTCACCCTCTGGTTCCACACTGACATCCTCACTGAGCATTTCATCAGCTTTTTCAATAATTTCCCGCACTTGATCCACAAAAGACTCTCTCTCCATTGCTAGAATAAAGTCATTGTTCACCTGTGAAAGAAATGTGATGTCAGTCTGATTAATACACTGTTTCTCAAGCTGTAAGTCATTCAATTACCAATTTCATGACTTCTGCCCTATCTGCATACCACCTATATTTTTATTTACTTAATATAAAAATTAGTTCTTTAGTATCTACTGGACACGTTCTCGACAAAAACATCCTAAATCACAAGTCTGGTGTACTAAGTTATATTCACATCAAATCAAATGTATAACTTTAAGAAAGATTACAAAATACTGCATATTTGCCCTGGGCACTGGATATTTAGATCAAGTACTAAGGTAAAATTGGAACTCTAAACGTAGACATACCATAATTGTTGCTATCTCCTCAGGGTTGTCGCCATCTAAATCAAATTTGAATGTAACCATTTTCCTATTGTGAGTCTCTAATTGACATTCTACTACCCGATCTCCTTTATTTGAAACCTAAAAAAGAAAAAAGAAACAGCACTTCATACCTCAGAAGACCACATTCATTGACCTTGATTATTGAATTTGAGAAAAAGTAAAGCAGATTATCACTTAAATTTAAGCCTGATGTTACCACTATTCCTGTCACTGGGACTCTGCTTCTTAAACCGGTAGCAAGAAAACCTTAAGAAACTGTCAGCCTTTGAGATACATACTTATCTTCTACTGAAGAGTCTGGAAGAAATGTAGGGCCCTTGTTTTACAAATTAAAACCATTCTTTTTCTAAAAGGTTCATAGAAATATGAAATTTAACAGTATCGTTTGAGTGATTAGGCGATCCTGAAGTTTCATCAGTACACCTGAGATGTGAAATATTTAAAGACTTCCAGTTAAGATGGAGGCCTACGTAGACATGCTTCGCCTCCTCACACAACCATAGAGAGAATTACAACCAAACCTCAAAACAACACCTAGAACTGTCATAAAAGTGAACTGTATGGAAGTCTGCCAACCAAGATTTAAAGAAGCCACGTTTAGGACTTCTGGCCAAGATGGAGGCATAGGTAGATAAACTTTGCCTCCTCGCACAACCACAAGAAGGACAACAACCAATTTAAAAACAAAAAACCACCACAACTGCCAGAAAATTGAATTGCATGGAAGTCTGACAACCAAGGAATTAAAGAAGAAATGTTCACACAGACTGATAGGACAGGCAGAGATGGGCAGCCAGGGTGGAGAAGATGCATGGCAAGGCCATGGCTGGTAGACCGGGTGTTCCCACATTTGCGTGCAGATAAACCAGGAGGAACAACTGGGAAGCAAGACAGACCAGTCACTCCAGAGTTCAGCGTGAGAAAAGGAAGCCTCAAAACCTCTGGCTGTAAAAACCTGTGGGGCCTGTGGCAGCAGGAGAAACTCCCAGACTCACAGGAGAGGTTGTTGGAGAGACCCACGGGGTCCCAGACCTACACAAACCCACCCACCCAGGGATCAGCACCAGAAGAGCCCAATTTGCTTGTGGGAAGTGGGGGAAGTGACTGAGAGCCAGCAGAGAGCAGAGCAAGCGGCACTGTGTCCTCTCTGACTCCTCTCCCACATTCAGTGTCACAACACAGGGTAATGGGTTGCCCCGCCCTGGTAAATACCTAAGGCTCTGCCCATTGAAACATAACAGGAGCTCCAAGACAAAGAAATATGGCCCAAATGAAAAAACAGATCTAAGCTCAGGAAAAATACAACTAGGCAATGAAGAAATAGCCAACCTATCAGATGCAGAGTTTAAAACACTGGTAATCTTGATGCTCAAAGAAATGGCTGAGTATGGTTGCAAAATAGAGGAAAAAGTGAAGGCTATGCAAAGTGAAATAAAAAAACACAGGGAACCAACAGTGAAGGGAAAGAAACTGGGTCTCAAATCAACGATTTGGAACAGAAGGAAGAAACAAGAATTCAGAAAAATGAGGAGAGGCTTAGGAACCTCCTGGACAACTTTAAACTTCCCAACATCTGAATCATAGGGGTGCCAGAAGGAGAAGAAGGAGAGCAAGAAATTGAAAACTTATTTAAAAAAAAAATGAAGGAAAACTTCCCCAATCTGGCCAAGGAAACAGACTTCCAGGAAGTCCAGGAAGCACAGAGTCCCAAAGGAGCTGGACCCAAGGAAGAGAACACCAAGGCTCTTCATAATTATATTACCCAAGATTAAAGATAAGGAGAAAATATTAAAAGCAGCAAGAGAAAAGGAGACAGTTACTTACAAAGGAGTTCCCGTAAGACTATCAGCTGATTTCTCAAAAGAAATCCTGCAGGGAAGAAGGGGCTGGAAAGGCAAGGACCTACATCCAAGATTCCTCTATCCAGCAAAGCTATCACTGAGAATGGAAGGGCAGATAAAGTTCTTACCAGATAAGGTAAAGTTAAAGAAGTTCATCATCACCAAGCCCTTATGATATGAAATGTTAAAGAAATTTATCCAAGAGAAAGAAGATGATCAAAACTATGAACAGTAAAATGACAACAAACTCACAGTTATGAACAGCTGCACCTAAAAAACAAAAATAAACTAAGCAAACAACTAGAATACAAACAATCACAGAAATGGAGATCACATGGAGGGATATCAGGAGGGAGCGGAAGGGGTGAGTATGGGGGAAAAGGTACAGGGAATAGAAACATAATTGGAAGGTACAAAATAGACAGTGGGAGGTTAAGAATAGTATAAGAAATGGAGAAGCCAAAGAACATATATGTACAACCCATGGACACGAACTAAGAGTGGGGGAAATGGTGGTGGGAGGGGTGGTACAGGGCAGAGGTGTATAAAGGGGAGAAAAAAATAGGACAACTGTAATAGCATAATCAATAAAATATACAAAAAACAAAACAAAAACACCTAAGCAAACAACCAGACCAGGAACAGAATCATAGATATGGAGATCCTTTGGAGGGTTATCAGCTAGGAGAGGAAGGGAGAGAATGGGGGAAAAGGTTCAAGGATTAAGAAGCATAATTGGTAGGTACAAAACAGACAGGGGATGTTAAGAATTGTATAGTAAATGGAGAAGCCAAAGATATTATATGCATGACCTACGGACATGAACTAAGGGGCAGGGGAACTGCTGGGGGGAAGGAGGGTACGGGGTGGAGGGGAGCAAAGGGGGAAAAATTGGGACAACTGTAATGGCATAATCATAAACATTTTTTGAAAAAATAAATATTTAAATAATATTAATGATATGAAACCCACAAATTAGCAATACTTACATTCAAAATTCTCAATTTTGGACGTGAAGTCTTTTCATGACGAGAGCGACTTCTTACAGATTTTCTGTAATGCCGTTTTGTGGTTCTCCCTTCATGCCTTCCACTGGATGATGGGACATTCTCATTGCCATCGCTCATACCAGAAGCAACATCTGAATGTGCACTTCAAAAAAAAAGAAAGAAAGAAGTTCAGTTTACAATATGAGATTTAAGATTCAGTATTTTGAAGTTTCATGGCATCCTACCTACCAGTCAGGGATAGAGAATTTCACTTTTACATACCTGTCTATAGAAGAGACCACAGTGGTAGGCTGGGTAGGCTGTGGCAGTGCTACTGGAACTGGCTCTGGAGGAGCAGCAACCTGAGAGACTCCCTGAGTACCCTGTGAATAAAGAGAATAATTCAAATCTTGGTAGTAACAGATTTTATTTATTATTCACTATTCCAAAAAGCTACTCATTTTTTTCTTATCCCACCCCTCCCAAGTCCTAGAAGCACTAAATTTACTAGTAATTCTCAATATTCAGCATCTACCAACCATGGTCTTAAAATTCCAAAGGAAGTTTCTAAAGCTAGTTTCTGATATAGACTGCATGGTGTGATATCAGCCAACATAGTTGCTATGTAGTGAGAAACTATAATTTGCCATGCAGCCAGCATCTTACCAGAAGTGTGCAATAGGGCAGGCAGAGCAAAGTGCAAAGATGATTCAGATCTTTCTCCTAGTAGGGCAAAAATGATTACTGGGAGCACAGCAGGATAAGATATTCTTACGACTGCCAATGGCAAGAATTTGTGAAAGGAGAAGAATAATGGCTAAAGTACTAGCTAGAGAAGTGAAGTGCTAATAGGGTTAATCTTCTCCAAGGCACACTCACTTCCCAACAGAACAGCCAGTGGCAACAAGGCCCCCACATTGGCATTTCATTATGCTGTAAGAAAAAGTCATTCAGAAGTTAGTTTGAAATAGTCTCCAAAATTCTAAACCAGGGAACCTATGTTTCTCCTTTGTAACTTTTATCCCATTATATACATATATGTTTTGGATATGAACATGCAGAAATTCCATTTACCTCCAGAGCTGCTTGCTGGGAGGATGTAGTGGGGGCTTGTGCTAAACTCACTGATGGCTGGGACACTTGAACCTGTCCTCCTATACTGCCCACAGGAACTAACAGATTTGATTCCATATAAGGCTGCACCACTGTAGGAAAGTAACCTGGTGGAGCTAATGCTTCTGTGGGCATGGGAGGGGATAAGACTGTAGAAGGGATGCAAGCAGAAGCCACGCTGGAAGAGGGAGCAATATTTGAATCTCCTGGGTATTGTGGTGGCAGTCGAGGTGGGAAGCCCTGTGACAGAAATGAGGAAGGTGAGTTAGTGCAGGTCGGGTCATCAAATTAGCAAAACAGAAAGACATGCCAAAAAAAAAAAAGGAATGCACACAGCAAAGAAGAACAGTAGTAGCCCAATCTTTTTCTAATAATATAAAGAAGATTTAAAGATGATTCTTGAAATGAAATGGCAGACCAATTTCCATTTAGGGGACAGGACTCTACACCTATACATTAAATTGCTGGGTTTTTCCTCCTAGAGACTGTTTAAATAGGAGGAATAGACACAAGTCCTTTTAGAAAAATATCTGCTTTCTAGTCCATCTTAAATGAGAGAATGTAAAAACTCTTCAAGGTGTTAGTCATTACAGTCATTTCCTGACCTGCTAATCTTCTAAATCCAAGCCCTAAAGCTTTTTATTGATGCCATTTTGGCTACTCTATTTATTCTTCTTTTTAGAAAAGCAGCCGGATATACTCTTTATCTAGCATTCAGTTACCTTATACTGAGTTTTAAAGAGAAATATTTATCTCCCAAGAGATGTCATGAGAAAAATGGAATTGAATCATTAGACATCATCACCCTATCCTTTCTCAGAATTTCACTGTTTTAACTTCTCTAGGTGAGATCAGCAGCTATTGTTAAAGCTAGTTATTTTAATAATATTCCATTACTAGATTTTCAAGTCCTTGATGGTCTACTATTACAACCAAACCCTCTGGTGCCCTCCTTTTTGCTAGCCAACACAATACCTGGTACAGAACATCTCCAGAGGGAAGTGGAACCTCAGCAGCTTGTCCAAGGTTAGCTGGTATTCCCATGGACTGAACTGCTGGCTGTAGAAGCTGTGGCTGAACCTGACTTGGCAGCTGAGCCACAGGCTGCAGAAGGGTTGGAAGCTGACTAGAAGCCACAGTTGGCCCCCCTGCGATCGTAGCTGCTGTAGCCGATGAAGCCAAGGTGAGCAGAGGCTGATTAATGCCAGCTGCAATTGTGATGGGAAGGGCTGAGAAGCCTGTTTGAGCTGCAGACACATGAGGAGCCGATATAGGAATTTGAGAGACAGGATATTGAGGGAGTAAGGAAGTAGGGAGTGGCTGTCCCATAGGGAGGAAATGAGCACCAGAATGGACTGGAACAACTGAGGGTTGTGTTGCAACTGGGATCTGAGGTTCGCCTTGGATAGTTGGTACTGGCTGGGAAACTGGAAGCTGAGAAGGTAAAGAAAAACAAAACAGACGGATTTAAAAAAAAAAAAGAAAAAAAAAAAAAGCAAGGCCACCAAAGCAAGATTTATGTATTAGCCAAAAAGAATGAAAATTTAAAAAACAAAACCCTGAATACATTAGTGTAAGTTAATATGCCACATAAAAATAGGGAAAGGATAGCAGGATACAAAGAGGCTTATAGATTGTTCCAAATCTTTGTGGAAAAGTTTGCTAATGCTTCATTGTTCAACAACAAAACATGGACCCTTCCACCGGCAAGGTCTTTTTAATAGCTTTTGTTGAAAGATATTTTCCAGACCATAATTTACTGGCATGTTTGCTGTCTCTAAATCTATGACTACTATTACAATATTTACCAAAAATGCAAATAAACTTCTTCCCAGTGGAATTAGATTTCATCCATATTGCCTGTAACACAGGCCTATAGAAGTAGGTATAATTATATTTCACTGATTCTAGGATGCAGTCATCCCTCTCCATCACCTTGTCATTTTAACATTTCTGAACCTGAGAGATATCTTACAATTAATGGTGTGTCAGTACTCAGTGATACATAATATAATGGTGCATTTTACAATTGATAGTATCTCAGAGCGATTAACAGTATGACAGAAACAACACGTTGTATCACAATAGAAGCACAGCAAGCACCAGTGTTGAAACTGGAAAAAAGGCATTCAAAAGAGCATAACTTCATCTACAAGGCACTTTTCAAGTGATTGGAAGGACGTCTTAGAAAAAACACCATTCCATATAAGGGGTTTTTATGACTTACTGTCAGCAGACAATGAGGGACAAAACAATGCATAAATCTACATGAAAATAAAGCATAGCTGCAGACTTGGAATATTAAACATAGCTGATATAATTCTCAATAATGTCATAGGTTCAGTTACCAAAGCATATTTATTAGTCTATCAGTTCAATTCTTGTCAAACTGATTTTAGACTGATAAACCTAAAAGTTAATCTTTTTTAGATTGCCCCTGCTCTCAGTATGTATCCATTTATATTAAGCAATGCATATGCACAAAAGGAGCAGTTTTTCACTTTTTTTTTTTGCAGGAAAAAAACAACCAACTTCAATATTTCACCATTAGAGAAGGCAGAAGCCTATCCACATGAAAGACAGGTTATGTGGAGTTCCCTTTTATCATACTTTTAGAAATTAAGTATTTACCTGTTTTCCAGCTGATACTTGAGGCAAGACCTGTGGAGCTGGAGGCTGACTCACTGGCTGTATAGTAGCGGCCTCACTGGAGGCTGATGTCTGTGGAAGTGAATACTGTACTGTCTGTTGCGGAGGGGCTGTCTGCTGTATTCCTTGCTGCTGAGAATAAAATATAATTGTTCAGTTTTATTTCAAGTCATTAATACCATGTTTTTAAGAAAGTATGTTTGCCTAAGTCCTTCAGTGTCCGTAAATAATAATAATTTTAGTAATAAAGACATACACACACTCAAATTCATCAATTCTCCTTTACATTTCTCTTCTCTTCTAGCGTTCTTTACTTGTGATGGTACCACCAAGAACAATTACCAATGTTACAAAACTTGAGTCACCACTGGTCCTTCACCCAACATTCCCTCTTACCCCAAGAGCAGGTCATTTATAAAGATCTTTAGATATCATATCCAAATAGGTCCTCCCTCCATCTTCCCACTCATTTTTCCTATTTCTTGGTATTAGCTCACACTTTTGTCCTCTATTAAAATTAATCCAATCTCCTCCTTCAATCTTTTTCCATTCATCTATTTTATACACCGTATAAATAATTTGCTTGAAAAAAAATAGCTCTGATTATAGCTACAAAATAGTGAGAAAAGCATTGTACTTGGAATTTTTGCTTTATAATTTACTAGCTGTAATACCTTAGAGATCGTTCATTTTAATGCCAAAATGATGTGCCCTTCTTTGAAAATAAGAACACTATCACTCAAGTCAAAGCAGGACAAAAAGAATGACACTTGGGAATCAAAGCATATGCTGGGCACTATGGTATAACACACCTGAACTTAATGATGATACATAATTGTACCCAAATCCTAAAATTTGTAAGAAATTAATGGCCCTCTTTCGTATAACAAAAATCTGACCTTCAGAGCTGGCTCTCAAGACTTTGTAATACTTATAACTAACTTAAAATTTTTAACACAAAAATACCTGTTTGTAATAAATATTTTAACCAATTCATCAGATTATAAAGTTAAAATGAAAATACCCCAACTTCATTTTTCAGTGGCAACCACTATTAGTGGTTTGGTGCAACACCTTTATGAAATTATTTTGTATGTATAAATGGTCATTTACACACAAGTACATTTTTCTTTGTTAAAAAAACATGCCTATTATTTAAATACTGTTTTCTAACACATTTTCATTTCAGTTATCAATGGCATCAATGTCCTAATACTGAATATTTTGGTTGATTTTTAGCAAAATAAAATCACCAGTGGTCATGTTCATTTTATTCTTAATTATTTCTGATAATGTATTTTTTTTTTAAGATTTATTTATTTTAGAGAGAGGAGAAGGGAGGGAGAAAGTGAGAGAGAAACATTGATGTGCAAGAGATATATCAATCGGTTGCCTCTTGCACATCCTCAACTGGGGATCTGGCCCACAACCCAGGCATGTGCCCTGAGAGGGAACTGTACTGGAGATCTATCATATCACAGGCTGTCACTCAATCCACTGAGCCATGCCAGCTAGGGCGAATGTATTCTTATTTTAACTTAAAAAAATAGGGAACAAATGGCCACTGAATTATATAAAATTTATTTTAAGCAGTTAAGATATAGCATACATGTAACAACTGCAACACAACTCTGAATATAAGAAAATTTCCCCAGTTTCCCACTGAGAAGAAAAATGAAAACCAAAAAACCTTTTTGGTCTACTTTACTATATTTAAGCTTTAAGGAATTTACATGAAAAAAACTAAAATTATCTAAGGCATTAATTTACACACATCAATAAGACTGCATAGTACATAAATATAGTAATTTAGAAATATCGCTTCCCCTCCATCATTAAAACTCTTCACATGTAACATATCAATGTCTTTATCATCAGTGGAGCTATATGCTACAGTATTCTGGAGCACACTTTCCCTTTGTATCTTGAGGTAAAACCTGCAGTGACAATTGATTTTTTTTGCATTTGTCTTACAGATTTATATGCATGTTATCTTTGTAGTAACTTCTTAAAGTAAGTAAGTTGTTTACAGTGACATATAAACCTGGAATAGTGAAGGTTTGACCTGGAATAGTCACTGTCCTAAGAATAAGAACCAAATCTATGTTTAATTTCCTGACTTTTATTTTAAAACCAATTCTGTCAGATGTTCTCTCTAAACATGTCCAACCACATACGTTATTTTTCAGGTTCTTACACTTGTTCTCGCCAGTTTTATTCCATTAATAATTTTTGATTATTGTTCAAAATAAAGGACATTGAGGGCCCTGTTATATGAAAGTATGATAAAAGCTAAAAGCTTGAATGTATGGTGATTCCCTTCTTTACCAAGGGAAAAGGATAATTTGAGGAGAAATCCCCAGCTTATATTTGGGCATATGATATTGTCCCCCCTGCCCCTGTGCCCTGCAAGTGCGGAATGATGCTCACATCAAGATTTGGACACAATTGGCTCATTCCTTTCCTTTTTCTTTTGGCTGAGAACAGTCTTTATTTTTACATCTGAGACTAACTCATAATCAGAGTCTAGTTCAAATTGTATCTTTTTCACATAGCCTTCCTGACATCCCCCTCCTTGCTAGGAAGTGATGTCTTTCCTTTCATGACATAATTGGGTAGCAGTTAAATGGGGAGTTGTAGAGTCAGACTACTTGGGATTAAATTGTGTCTACCTCTTATAAGCAGTATAAGATTGGGTAAATCACTCAGCTTCTTCAGATCTCATCTCAGTTTTTCCATCTGTAAAATGATAGTACCTTCACTTACAGGGTTCAATACAGATTAAATAAATATACAGGTTAGTGCTTTGTACATTGTATATAATGTTAGCCATTATCTTACTTGTTTTGTAGGAGTTGACATATCTGGTACATCTTGGGCCTCACGTCCTAACCTGTGGCTCTTCAGCACATGAACTCAATCAGGAAAAAACTTCTTAATTAGTTGGGGGTGTGTGTGTCTGTGTGTGTGTAAACAGTCAAAGATGAACAGTTTTATACCTATAAACTTTCACTCTTTGCTTAAAATAACTGAGAGCCATGCATGCTAATTGTACTGTAGAGCATTTAGGGAGAAGTGGCTCCTTTGGGTAGGCCAGTAGTATATGGTGGTTTTTTTTTGGTGTACAATCACACTGGCTAATAATCAATACATCAGCCAACCAGGCATTGTTTAGCAGAGTAACTTGGCACCAGCTTTGCTCATGAAACCAGTTCAAACCAGCCTGACTGAATACTATTTGTTGGACTACTGGATTAAAAAAATATTCATGATAAGAAATACCTAAAGACTCCACATGTGACCTATAGAAGAAATGATGACGCAGTGTAGCTCATTAGCTTTCTGTGGAAACAAAGTTTTCCAGTAGGAAGAAACTATTTTTGGTACCTCATTGAGGTATGTATGGCATACCACTAGAAGGGACTCAATAAAAAACATGAAAAGAGCAATCCCTTATTCATTATATTTCAAAAACCCATGAAACAAAGTAAATTTCAGCCAAAGTACATTTCTTGACTCACTCTAATAAAACTAGAGACATAGTTTCCTAAGGGATTGGGACCTAACCATGTAAAACAAAAATTACATCTAAAAATACACTACTTACATAGTACCTAAGGTTTACAATCTTTCTCTTTTATTTATGGAACCTCTGTAGCTAAAATAAATAAATGCAGCTTCTTGGGTACCTTTGCACAATCTTAAGTCCCCAGAGAACTTTAATATAGAAGAAAGAACACTATTTTAGAAATCTTGAATTCTGGCTTGTAATTCTTGGTTCTATCCACTTATAGGCTATATGACCCTGAAAAAATTAAATAGTCTAGACCACATATACTTGGCTCAATTTTATGACTCTGCTTAAATATTATGCTATATTTAAAATATGTCACAAAATAAAAGTTACCTAAAAGAAATCACGAACAAAAATTAATTTCATTTGTACTGTTGAGATAGCCATTTAGTCATATTTTTTCCCAGAAGAGTCAACAATCTAATTATTTTAACCTGACATTTATGGAATTACCCTCCATTGCCCCTGCACACTTTTCTCACCATTGAACTCAATGACGTTGTTTCATTGTTTTCTTTATTTCGTACTAAGTATGTATGTATATGTGCTGAAATATAAGATATACAGGGCCTGGCACAAATCACACCCCTTTTATTACAAAATCTTTTATTACAAAATCATAAGCATGTATGACTCAAGGACACCATATAACATTTTAGGTGAGATGTTCAAACGGCTGTCCACCTAGTGCAAGACATTCACGTACTCTACCAACCACACTCAAGCAAGCCTTACTTCTGTCAGATCCTGTATAACAAATTACCTTGGAAAAGAAAAAACAGAGCACACACTTGAATTTGCTGTTTATTGGTGTTTGCTCTGTGTCCAAAGACACACAAATTAAGAGAATGGTATCCATGAAAGTGCCTCGTCATCAACCCACTTTATATAACTTTCAATTTGATTTATTTTTATTTTTTAATTTATTGATTTTAAAGAGAGGAAGGGGTGTAGGGGGAGAGAGTAGGGGGTGGGAGAGAAGAGAAAAACACTGATTTGTTGTTCCACTTATTTGTGCATTTATTGGTTGATTCTTATGTTCCCTGACTGGGGATTGAACCCTAACCTTGGCTTACTAGGATGATGCTCTAACCAACTGAGTTACCCAGCGAGGGCTTAGTTTGTAATCCTACTGGGAGTTGTTAATAAAATTATACTAGAATTTAAGGTTGACACAAATGTGACTGTTCTGTTGATTGGAGTATTGTCCCATACCCCAAAAGCTTGTGGGCTCCATCCCCCATCAGGACACACACCTAGGTGGTAGGTTTGATCCCCAGTTGGGGTATGTGTTGGAGGCAATCAATCCATGTTTCTGCCTTCCTCTCCACCCTCCTCCCCCCTCTTCCTCTCTCTCTCTCTCTCTCTCTCTCTTTTTAAGGTTTCATTTATTTATTTTTAGACAGGGGAAAGGAGGGAGAAAGAAAGGGAGAGAAACATTAATGTGTGGTTGCCTCTCACATGCCCCAAACTGGGGACCTGGCCCACAACCCAGGCATGTGCTCTGACTGGGAATCAAACTGGAGACCCTTTGGTTCGCAGGCCGGCACTCAATCCACTGAGCCACACCAGCCAGGGCCACTCTCTTTAAAAATAATTAATAAAAACATATCCTTGGGTTAGGATTAAAAAAAAAGTGACTACTCAACTTAACTATAAATATATTACATTCAAATGCACATCTGGAAGAAAGGGCAGGAGCAAGACAAAGCATATAATTCCCAGCCCTTAAATTCTATAAGATGGAGGTGTTGATCACAGGGTTAAATATATGTATAACCAAACTAATCTTGCACAAGGAACATCTGATGATCTTAGACTAGTATCTTATGACTACATGATCACATGCTGGACCAAAAGCAGGCAATTTGTAATAAGACTTAAAAGATTTGTTTAAAAAATTAATAGAAACAGTAGCCAATCTACTATTTGGCGATTCAGAAACACTTTATAGGGAACTATCAATGAAATAGTTCACTGTGAAGTTTTTGTGATACATATAGTAACTATAAATTTTATTGGAAAGTTAATAAATATTCCATTGTGCCAAAAAAGCATTATTTCCATGCAAATAATTAACTAATATAATATCAGCAATGAACTACAAACAGTTAATTTTAGAATTACCAATGTTACTGTTAAGCACATCAACATTGTACTAAACTCTTGAGTTCTTGGAACCTTTGGGAACAAACTCCCCAAATCAGAAGTTGAAAAACAATTTTTTTAAGTTTCTGAAGTAGCTGTTCTTAGGCTTTTATCCAGTGCTTTTTAGTATAGAGTTTGATAGTCTACCGCACAAATTAGAAATAATTTGAAAGGAATGTAGTGTCATTAGAGTCAAGTACAATGAAAGCAGTGACAAAATGCTGGTAAAAGAATAAGTCATAAATGTAAACAGAAACAAAACTGATATTCTTTGTATTGTTAAATTATGTATAGAATTACCTGTTTAAGGCAGGTAGATTATATCAGTAACAATGATTCTTTTAAATTGTAATCTGTCAAATCTAGTAAATTGTTCAAAAATACATTAAACAAAAGAAGATTTTCTAAAATGTTACTGAACACAATACATGTTATGCCTCTTGATTTTCCTTTCAAAAACTTAGCAAGCCATTTACATCAGAAATCTAATTCAAGAAAGATGTGAAACAGTGTATTGGCTACAGCTAATCCGTAACATGTAGCAATGAGTTGTTCTCACCTGCTGAGAATGTTGTATGGTTTGGGAAGATGAAACCCCTGTTACACCACTTGAGGATGGCTGGCCCTGGCTCTGCCCCTGCACCTGAAGGAAAGAAGCAAATACAACAAATTAGAGAAGCCCTAAAGAAAATGCATGGAGAGGTCAGGCTTTTGCAATACATATTAAGATCCTGAGACTTTGCTGAGTAAGATGAAACATTAGCTTGATAAAGCATATATGCAAGAGACCACTGGGGCATCTTTTTAAGAAAAGTTTAGAGAAGAACATATTCTGACCCCAGGCAGAACTGCTGATAGTTAAAACTTAACCTACCACTTCTGCTCAGGCTATAATTTTAGCAAAAATGTAACATTCATAATAAAATTGTTATTGACAATAATCAAGAGAAAATGTAGTAAGACTGTCAATGTAGGGAAAAAATCTCAGTATGTGAACAATTACAGAAAAAAGGGTATTTGATAATGCTAATTTGGTTCCTTTTGCTATTTGTTGTAGTGCCATGATGACTTTTATCAAAAATGTAAAAAATCTGTTATCATCATTAACTGCCTAGAGTAAGTTCTCAACCAGGGGCAATTTTGTCCTCACCTCAGGGGACATTTGGCAATATCTGGAGATGTTTTAGTTTGTTGCAATTGGGGGATGTAGTAGCTACTGGCATCTAGTAGAGAGCAGCCAGGACGCTGTTAAACATCCTACAATGTGCATAAGAGCTACCCAAAATAATTATCCAAACTCAAACATCAATAGTTTTGCATGAGAAAATCTGACTTACAAAAGTCTAAGTTCAAAATAACAGAATATGAAAAACGAATGCAGGGCTTTGCAGAGGTAAGTTAAGAAAAAGGCAAACCTTTGCTGTTCCATTTCAGTTTAGAGAGGTTTCTTTGAAGATTACATGGATATGACATGACATTTCACTGCATCTTAACCACTCTAAGTATTCATTCTTTCTGTAATATGTCTGTAAATTAACTACCTGATATACATAATTTTATTTTGTGAAGTTTGAGGAATGGCTGGCAGTGCATTAAGATTTACAGTATAGGCTGACAACTAGTGTAATGATGTGAGGATACTGCATATCCATGCAGTATCATTTCCAAGTTTCTGGATCTTTTTGATCCTTGGTACTATTCTAAACAACTGATACTTTATGTACACTTTCAGGATTTTTTATGCACACATAGGAAGAAAGTATGAAGAATATATACTACTTTATAAGAGTGGAATATATAGAAGATCCAAACAATGTCTTAAATATATAATTTCAGTCTCCTACATAGATTTTATAAGGCTTATACTTTTGATAAAATGTATCAAAAATACATGAAACAGTTAATACTGATTCCACTTCTTGAATTCTATTATGTCCATTACTTGGTCTTTATTTGCAAGAGTGCTTAAGCTAATAAACATAGGTAACAAAATTTAAATTTGTTGATGTAAACACCAGGGCCTGAGATATCTAATGTTCCTTAGCTTGCAACATGCATCACAAATTCTCAAAACAAATTAAAAAAAACCCCCACCACCAACACTAAATTCTAACTTAGTTGCTAAAAATTAGAATTAGTCAATTTTATGGATGAACGTTTTATTTGGACATATAGTGACTTGTTCAATTGATGTCTTTTTAAAAAGGCATCTTCATTTTGTTAAAACAAATTCCTAAGATGTTCCCTTTCTGTCTTTTAAAATCTTTCCATGCTAATGAAAATTCTATGCATTGTTAGCATTACATAAAAAAAAAAAAAGGTACCCCCCCCCTTTTTTTTAAACTAGCCATGTTTATTTCTGGGGAGAAAGAAATATTTCACATTAGTATTTGTAAATAATGCTAAGTCAACTTTACATTATAGACATTTGCATTTTCACTGCTGGTTTTAAACATTCTACATATGGATAGAATTGATTTTGACAACTGACTAAAATTCTAGCTTTTGTGTTCTCTTTTCCAAGGGTTTGTATTTAATAGGTAAGTTACAAAGCTTCTCCCTCATTTTTTGGTCTTAAACACAAGTAGTTTAGAACACCCCTACATGGAGAAACTCTATTAATAAAATTAAATAATATTCCTCATAAATGGAAAGGAGGGATAGAAAACTTAAATGTAATGGTTCATAGTAGGGTAGCTTAAAAGAATAGTGGAAGTCTTCCTATAACCTGTGGATGGAGTGCAGATCCTCCTGAAGAAAATGAGGCAGATAAAACCTGCTGAGATGTGGTTCCTTGGGGGAAACAGAAGAAAAGTGGGGATTCTTGTAACAATGTCTGAGGCAGACGGATATAGGGTAATGAGACGTCAGAGCCAAAAGGTGCAGCTGCTCCCCCTGTAGGGGGAGGTGATTGAAAATCACTGGGGTCTGAAGAAGTAATTTGTGAGGAATCACTGGAATACTCTGGGCTTCCTATTGGCCAGTTCTGTCCGATAGGCTCTACCACAGACACGGTCAATTCTGGGGAATAATTATGCTGTTCTTCAGTCACAGGCTGCAGGCGGCCATGTAATCCAACTGATGGAGGAGGTGGTTCTTCCTGATTCAAGTCCACTGCAACCTGTCGATTTCGGTAAACACGCTGAGGCAAAACTCCCCCTCCTTCTCCTGAAGAGGAGCTTGGAGTGTGAACATGAAATTCAAATACACAATTGCTTCTGCTCTCATTATTATGAGTTAACACAGCAGGCGCAGAATGAGGAACAAAGACAGGGTGAAATTTCAAACGTGTAGCATCTGTACTGATAGGTGCAGAAATACTAGAGAGGGGAGATCCTGGACTCAATCCAGAATCTAATCTTAAATTCTGAAGGTGTCCTACCAAGAAAGCCTGTCCAGATGGAAATTCAAAGACAGAACTTGAGGTAGGACCCCCTTGTACTGGCTTCTGTTCAGGTATCTGTTTCATAGGACTTGACAGTACTGGTGAGTTGTATGGAATACCCTCATACTGTTCTGCCACCTGGGCCTGGTACTGTACCCCAGCTACACACAATGCTTCCTGAGGAATAAAACAGTGAGCTTCTTCTGGAAGTACTAGTCCAGGTCTATAGTCACTGTAAACTTGAGGTGTTTCAAACATAGACTTGACCTGTATCTCACATGGCTCTCCAGTTATTCTACTGGTTGTAGTACCCAGCATAACTATGGCCTCTGGTGTCCAGTTAGTTGGGCTGCCACCAGGTGGAAGAAGATTTTGGCCAACAGTCCTCAGCAGGGGTTGGAAGTGGTGAGTTTGGGCTTCCAGGAAGGAGGTGCTCTTACGCCGCTGAGAAATGGCCACCTTCGGTGGACAGGTGGGAGGTGGTGAAAAAGAAACTGGACGTTCATGAATAGTTGGGAAAAATATCTGTGATTCTGGGTATGTTGGGGTCCCCCCACACGGATGCACCATGGACTGAGGCTGTATCAACATGAATAAGACAAGTAATTCATACATTCATATGTGAAATTACATTTGACATGCACAACTGGGTAGCTCTGTGTAACCCTATGAAGTGGTTACACCAAATTTATAATTAATAAATAAATAACAATACTTGTAGAAATTATGTGCATAGTAAGAATCCATTAAATACATCCAGGGTCCATCAAATTATATTCTGTGGGACTCTGCATCAGATAAAAACTGCTTTTCCGTAACTTTCCTTTCTCAAAGGCAATGGAAGAATTTAACTTCCTAAGTGGTTATTCTATTTCTACCATACTTAATATTACTCTTAAGACAATATAAATTACATCAGTGGAAAAAGACTTAAAGACTAAGTGTTAAAGGAAGACAATAAAACCAACAATTTTAATAATTGAAGAAATGTGCTTCCATTTAAGATACCGTACAAAGTCTACCTATATTCTATATTCTTATTACCCTCTCCTGTTCGAGGCTTTAGAGTTATTTTCTTATCAAATAATTTTATGTCTTCTAAGTAGAAATCAGAAGAGACTTTTGGTGGACGATAAAAAATATGCAACCGAACTAGTGACAATGATGTCTTCCCCTGATCTATCCCAAACTCAATGTAGTGAATTTTACTTCATGAAATGTGACAGATGCAATATTACTAAATATCTATTTTTTGGGTACTAGTTAAGGGCTGAATAATTTGGTGTTCAAATCAGACAAAAAGGATAATATAAATAACAGTTGACTTGATTTAACAGGTTTTCTGGGGGTCCCAGAAGAGTTCAGCATTTGACTCTACATTTAGAATCCTACCTTGCCAAATGCAAACAGTGCACACTGTAATAATTCACTTTTATGGACTGTTTTTTAAGAGATCAGTTTCATTTTTTCAATAGGGAAGACCCCTATTAAGTTAGCAAAATAGCTCTATTGGTACTTCTTCGTAACAGCTAAAAGAGGGTTTCTATTACTATCCTACAGCCATAGGAACACTACACTGTTAATCATTCTCCTTGGTAAAAATCTGAAGATTTGGGGGTTGCTAGATCAGAATGTTAACTATATTCTATATCTGGAAAAGTAACAGCAAGGTCCCACAGTGTTTAAAACTTTAAAAGACAGACCTTTAATATACATGAATGGGGCCAAAGAAAATCATATGTACTACATATGTGTTTAACGTACTCATTAGAGTCAAGATCCCACCTTACTCAATCTAAGAGAAAAAAAAACTTTCATGAGGGAACATTATGTTGGCTTTTTAGTTTGCTGACACATCGTTTTAAACAGTTAACAAATTAAAACCAATTTTCACTCTTCAATTATTCTTCACTGACTATGGGATAAAAGAGATTCACCCAGCTTTATTAGCATCTCTTTAGAATAAAGTGAGGAGAAAACATGTTTGGGTAATGTATGATAAAGAGAAAATTTGCCTTTGATTAAGCCAACATTGAGTTTAAAATTAAATAATACACATATTCTTTACTAGCAGATGAAAATACAAGATTTTATATATGTCAGTGGGGGACAGGAGAACATTAAAAAAGCTCAATTTTATTGCACACACACTAATATGTGTGAAGGATGTTATAAGCATTCTCTCTCATTACCTCCTTGCTTTTTCCCCCTTACTGCCTTGTAACAAATAAATTCCTACAGCAAGAATTGGTATCCTAAAGCATAACATAGTACTAAGTTTAGTTCTGTTCTTTATTTAATTTTTATGAAATTATGAAAACTCTTTATGCCTGGATGTATTCATTGGTAATAAGTTTTCATTTGTCAGGAAGTTTATGGTTACATACAGTACTGACAAAGAGGGAAGGCAGGCTGGAGCGTCGGTGCTTGCGCTGAGAGGCAGAGTGCATAGGCAGGACACTCTCCAATGCTTTACAAAGCTTTTCGGCAAAAGTTTCCTCAGGGGCAGTCCGAAGGAGGGAAGGAGAAAGAGGTGCAGACAGCACTGGTGGTGGGGTGGAAGGAGCACTGGGAGAGATGCGGGACAGAGAGGGAACAGCAGAAAGATGGGGAACACAAACTGACATGCTACGGCCACGACGAGGCTAAACAGAAAACAAACACACACATGAAAAACACAGTACTTTGAAAACAAAATAACCAAATGTACAATGATAACAGGGCATAGTTGACATAAAGAAATGTTCTTCTTTTCCCCCCAATCCAATTTTTTGGGGAGAGATATAATTCCACAAAGCACACCTGGCAGATCACATTTATTCTCTCTACACTGTTGGTCAAGCACAGGCTTTTTTAAAAAAATGAACAACCATGATAATGATCAATTATCTTCCTAAATATTCAGAAATAACATGAATTGTTATGTGTATGAATAAGAATGAACGACTGAGGTAGCAGAACATACAGGGTAAACAATGAATGTTGGTTTGCAGTTTCTGCAAACTACTAGAGATTAAACAAGAATGAATTCTATTAGCTTAATGTACAATGTAAGATGTAGATTTTAAAACTGGATTATTCTGCAGGAGCTCTGGAAGCCTCAGAAACAGTTTCTCAATTTTATTTTAGAAGGCATCAGGTTAAAAAAGTTTTGGCTCACAGTATTTTATTTGTTACATTTGCTCATTTTTATCTATAAAGGTAAAAAGTCATTTTCTACTAGGAAAAGCATTAGCTTTCTAGCAGTAATTCATAATAAATATAGGAAACATTCTGTCTTTATACTAAAGTTGTCAGTAGAAAAATACCTTGCATGTGAATCTCTGAAACATAACTTTAAAATTTTTTTAGGCATATCAGGGATTCAATTTAGGTTTACAAATTTTAAGGTACCTTAACATAAAGGTTATAATATAGCTTATATAATATAGTAATATAGTAGTACATCTAATACTATAAGGTTGTCCTGGGCAAAATTTTTATTTCCTTTCAGATATTATAAGCCACACCTAATTTTATTTCATTTTCCAAAAACTGGCTGCACAGAATGCTTTGAGCCAAATTTGTGGCCCACCAGCAGCAAGTATGTAAGTACCATCCTATGATTACCTAGTTTCATTACTGGTTCTATCTTCCTCCACCCTTATTTCTCTTTTATTTTACTTTTAAAATTCCACATATAATTGATATATTATTATAAGCCACAATAAAATCTTTCTGGAATAAGAACAGAATTATACAATTTTTTAAAGTCCTCAATATTTAATAACTCTTCATGATACCTACAGAATATTGTCATTAAAAGGCAAGTCTGTCACTAACAGACTGCTTCAGAGCACCAATAAATATAGCTATGTTTGTGGCTCAAACATTTAAAATATTCATAAATGATTATTTCATTTCCTTTTCTAAAGTAGAGACTCAATGTTTATAACCCTGTAATGGCTGAAGCCAAAAGATTAAAAATAGTTTAACAAGTCTAGCGTGATGTTCAAGGGAAAAAATAACAAGATTAGAAACTGACAAGAAATTCTGACAAATCTTATTTGTCAGATCACAGAAATACATCTATACAGTCTTTATAAAGTTCTTCTAATCTACCTAATTATTTTAAATGTTAGGAAAATAGACTGTTAAAACATTAGTACATTAGTAGTTTTCTGTGTGTTACTGTGGCCATTCATCTTGAGACCTAGCCAATGTAGGACTGATGAATGGACTCTGAAACAAACAAACACTTCTTATCCCAAGCTGTAGGATAAAAGACCAGAGCAAGCAAACATATTTTCTTAACAGAGAAAGATTTTCACTTATTGAAGAGCAAGAATTCCACAAAATTCAGATTAAAAGCTTTCTGAGAAAGGGAAAATCTGCCTCTCTAAAGATCTCATAAACAAGTGCTATACACTTGTTTATTCTCCAATTATTCTCCAATTCTTTCCTGAGCCAGGTGGTGTATTTTATTTACCTCAGAAGACTTCACAAAGGGTCACCAAAAGAAATGGGATATTCTCTGATGATCTACTTTAACATTCTGTCTGTCAGAAGCAAGAGTGGCTAATGTAAAACATGGGGTAATAAATGTGTTTATGTGTGTGTGTGTGTATACATAAAGGCATAAAATACTTCAGGAAATAATCTCTACAAGTTGATTCTGAAAATAAATCAGTAAGAAAACAGATACCAAATAAAGGGGAAAAGCAAATGAACATATAACAGGGAAGGAACTTGTGTCCAACACAGACTTTAAGGAGGAACACACATAGCAATCGATTAAACACAAGCGCTAAATTAAATGGTCATACAAATAAGGGATTCCTTCACTCTATAGTACTTACATGCAGCATTCTATAATGGTCTGAAGGTTTTACCTGTGTTTTATACAGTAAGAAATCTTACAGAAAATACTTAGTAATTCTTTTAATAAGTAAACTTTTGAAAGACTCTTCTCAGCCCCAACCCCAAAACATTTGTATATCCAACTTAGGTTGCTCTGAACAGTTTCAACTCTAAAGTGCTAAAGAGAGCATTATCTTTAATCAACAGTCTAAATCTTGTACATAGCTGAACTTTCTCTGTGAAGAAATTAATTTCCACACATTTATTTTTACTCTATATCTATCCCCTCCCCTGCTGGAACTACTCTAATTATACTCTATAGTAAACCTATTTCCTTCAGAAATAGACTATTTGTATTTTCTACTTCAGGCTCATGCTGATGCCTGACTACTAAAAGAATTTGAATTTCAACGTATTATCCATTGGCTCTCATCATAGGCTTACACTCTCTTATACTGTTACTTACCATACTTGAGGGTGGATATACCCCATGGGGTTGAGATTGTGCTTGGACAACAGAAGCTGTGTGCCCGGGGAGTGTGCCAGTAGAATGTGCCTGTTCATGTTGTGAACCATATGAAACTGTCTGTTGGCTGCTCACTCGAGATTCTGTGAAGACAGAAGATCCCTGACCACTGTCAACAGTCCCGTCAGCTGAAGGAGAAATGAATTGCCAAAAGACAGAGAGACAAATCATAAAAAGGAAGTTCACATTTTCCCCATCACAAGCAGCATCAGATTTTTCCTTTGCATAGACCTGAACTAAATAAAAAATGAATGCTAGTTATTTTACTAAGTATATTTCTTTATTTAAATGAGGGTTCCATATGGAAAAAAGTTTTAGTATCTTTAAAAAAATTCCCTGGTTATCACAGACTCTTATTCTCTGACAAATAAGGGAAATAAAATGGAATGCTGTTAGTGTTAAGTTTGACAACTTTCAAAGTCTTGACTTTGGGGATCAGTGGGTTCTTAGTATTAGGCAGGTAGTTCTATTAATTTTTAGCAGTCTCATTAGTTTCTAATTTATACATTATTCAACTTTGCTAAAAGAACTGAATCAGATTAATGGGTTTAATTATAAGTGGCTCATTTGTTCATTTTTCATTATTAATTATATTTCATTTTAAGGAACTGAGAATAGTAGAAATCTACAAATTGGAATTTCCAAGATGAAGGGACCTATAACATCATCTTATATCCTAATCACATTTCTTCACTGTCCCATCCTTTTTTTCTATTAGTCATGGACATAAGAAAAGAAAAGGTAGATGGCAACCATATCAAACTTACTATATGTTGGATTCATAATTAAAAACCAAGAGGCCAGTGCAAAAGCATTAATAAGATAAAAAGTCAATTAGGAGTATCCTTAGCATGTGTCTCCACTTCCCAAAATACTTACATAACACAGATATGCTAGGTTGTTGGTACTGTAGTTGTTGATGTTGGTCTGCCTCAGGTTCTTCAGGCTCTACTTGTGTAGAAACTGAAGCTAAAGTGGCAGAGGCAGTAGGTATGCCAGTGCTAGCCGAAGGGAGCTGCTTGATTCCTGCCTGGGAAGCACTTGATTGTTGTTCTCCTTGCTGTTTGAAACTGCTCTCTTCTTGCTTTCTTTTTTCTTGTTCCTCCCGCACCAACTGCCGCTGCTCTCGTTTTCTCTTAATTAATGACACTCTATCTTTGATGGCTTTCGCCATGGTCTTGTGATCGCCTTCACAGACATACCCAGACTCTACCTACAGGATTAAAAAGTGCATTTAGCAAGCTGTAGGGTATCAAAAGAAAACAAACCAAATAAAACAGAAAAGGCACTTTTGGGGAGTAGAGAAGAAAAGGAAGAAAGGACTCTCTAAGACATGGTTTTAACCAAACTGTGAAATTATTGGTCTACATTATGCATTTTGCCACCATTTTTGTAGATATTCATAATGTGGGTGCCAGGATCTTTGTAGAAAACAGATGGGTGGGTGTAGCTTTACTTCTTACAACAAAACAATGGGGACCCTCAAACCAAAGTTTTTTTTAACCAAATAGGACTCATTCTATCCTATTTGCTCTATTTCCCCACTTACACATAACCATTAATATTAACCTGTGTTGCTTTTACTTCCTGCCACTAGGTAACCACTTAATCAGAATAAAACTACTGTGGTAAATATGTAAAGGTGAAAAAAAAAACCCCAACAACTAAAAAACCTCTAACAGTGCAAAAAACTAACAAAAATAAGCTCTCTTTCATACCTAAGCAACTGTTATTGAATGGTTCTTATAAATTCTAATATATATACTATAAGTATCTTTGCACAGTAAATGCCTATTTCAGACATTATGGCAGCCTAAAATTGGGGGAGTGTTTCTTTTAAAAGTAACCTTTTAGACATACTTTAAACAATGATTCACCAAAGGTAATCTACATAATTTATCTTGAAAACTCCCTTCAAAATAAAAAAAAATTATGATCTACTTATGGGGTTTATAGGGATGACTGCTTTTTTTGTTCAACAGTATCAATGTATGTAAATTTACGTTAATTTTTAAATGGCTAATTACTGCTAATTTACCATTTCTTGAGCAACATCTTCTGGTACATCTCTGTCCAAGTCAAAGGAAAACTCAATAGCTTCATTGTCTTTGTATTTTCCCTTTAATTTCTTAATATCTTCAATACGTAGCCATAATTTAATAGCTATCTTTTCTCCATCATCTTCTTCTGCTAATTCTACCCGCACCCCTGTTTCCTCCTGGAAGAAGGCATGGTTCAAAAGGTCTTTGATAGAGTATCTTCCAAAGAGAGAAAGAAAACAAAACAAAACATACAAAGTGCAATTAGATTGAAAGAAAATTTTCAAGTGTATCTGATTATTGTTATGCTTGAAATAATAAAACAAGGACTGTAAAAAGAAAAACAAGGGAAATTTTATATATCATTTCTACATTGCTCCATTTGAATAGTGATTATAGAGTTTTACTCTCATGTTATAGAATGTTATAAAAATCTCATATGTAACAATCTCATTTATGAATTAAGAACGGAAAGTGTTACTTTTTTTAATCTAATGATCCAATCTCAGTTAACAGTATACTAACAACAGCAAGTAATACAAAGAATACCAGAGTTTCAAAATACCACATAATCATTTATATAGCATTTATTGTTAACAAAAAGTCCTCATATGTACGATTCTATCTCATCATTGACCAATATCCAATGAGATATCCTAATTATTAGTAAATGGAGGTTCAGAGAGGTTGAATATCTTGTTCATAGTTACAAAAATTGTAAATGATGGAATTAAAACTCAAAAATAAAACTCCTCATTTTAGAATCATTACCTTCTACTATAGTAACCTTTATTTACTCCAATAAATTCTCTCAATTCCTTGTTCAACAATCTGTGTACTAGTTAAGCAGAATTCTAATTGTGGAACAATCTTTAGATAAATGGTCTCAAAATACCAGTAATCTAGTAAACTGTTCCATCCAGAAAAGAAACAGAATAACCTGTTTGAAGACTGGAAACAAATATTCTTTTGTTTATAGTTTAAAAAAAAAAAGTTCTTAAAGAGATTAAGTACTCTCCTTTCCAATCAGTGTATATAAAAAGAGAAACCCAAACTAAATTTCTACTAAAAAGTCTTAAAGATCATGATGTTATGCTCTTCCAAATAATGAAGTTACAAAAAAGAATATGAGACTGGAGAAGTGAAGATATGGAATTCTTTAATTTGGTTGATATATCTGATTGCTGACATTCTTTGGAGGTTGACTATGCTCAATTTACAATTTATGTTTGTACTGGCTGATCTACTTTTTTTAGGGGGGGCGGTGTTATTTTTCAAAAACAGACATTGGATCTTTGCCATGCCTGACGGGTGATGAATCAGCTATACGGCAGATCAGATACTTGCCACTCCTCTGAGAGAAGTCCTCTGTTAGTACAAATGACTAAGCCAGATTTCCTCCTAAGCTTTGGGCGAAGTTGTCTCTTTTTACTCAAAGAAATTTTGATGTTTTGCTCTTCTTCAATTCTGGCATAATAAAAGTAAATCAAGACCTGTATAGCTGAGTTGATTTTAAAGAGCCAAGATTTTATTTCACCTTTGAATTCAATGGGCAAAAAACGAAGGAACAGATATGCTGTGTTAGAGACTGAACCCTGAGTTTTATCGTGCTGATGCTATTCAGGGGGTGGGCAAAAGGTGGTTTACAGCTGTGAGTACACAAAACAGTTTATTTAACAAGTAAACTACAAGAATGGGTAAATAATGAGGGCCGGTAATTGAGCACTTATGGGACTGTACTATAGTGCACTGTGCCATTGTTACGTTCTTTTGAGTTAACAAAGCTATTGCAATTGTCATAACCTGCAAATCTTTTTCCATAATAACTGTAAACCTACTTTGGCCCACCCCCGTAATTATCACTGAATGTAGTAGTTATGTTTCAGGTGGTTCTTGTTTACTTAAACTCTACTAGTCCACAGTTATACAACATTTCAGTATATCAAATTTGAATACTACCTTCAATGGACAAAACTCTACTTTTGAAAGATACTACATGACATAAGTGGAGAAACTAATCACAAGTAAAATATTAAATATACCTCATATTGAGCACTGTATTCAGAACATGTTACATTTTAGGATTTCGTTAAAGCAACAGGTCAAAAGAGACACTTACCTTTCATCTTTGTTTTGCCGAATGCATCCTTCGATGATTTCCTTCACTTCAGGGATCGCTACTTTGTCAAAACTGGCTGGCTTGACCCCCTGAAAAACCATAAAAAGGGGGACAAAAACACATTATAAAAGCAGGGCCTTTGAACTCTGACTTTCAAATGAATCTTAAGGTTCCATTAGATTGCTTTCTTATCAACTTGGCTTTTTTCTGATTTCTCTGCAGGAGCTGGTTAGTGCATGCTGAGTTGAGTAGTGACAATTTAACTCTCATGAGACAACAAAAAGGAACAGCAGCAGTCACTTACTTCCATGGCCTCTATACGCAGCTGGGGAAAATGTTACGTTGTTGTCAACATCTTCTGCTGTGTTTCAAGTAAAAGGCCAAATATTCTAACTGGTTAGAGTATCTTATTCAACTTTGTTCACTAACACAGTAATCAACACACCATTTAAATGTTTTGAACAGTGAACTCATGTGTAGGCATGAATTTACATGCTCAGTTTGGCAGGTATCCTATTATTACAATAGTCTTTAACAAACTGAACAAATATAGAGGGAGTTAAAGGATATGGACTGGTTTGGCATGATGACTAAAGAGCAAACTGTCTTATACATATGAAACATAAAATGAAAAGTGACATATCAGACCCATATGAAAGACAAATTGTCCAATTCATTTCAGAAGAAAACTCAGTATCACTATTACATGCAATACTAAATAACAACACAATATTTTAGATCTTCATGAAGTGTAAATTTTTGCAAAGAAAAATTTCTGCAATGTGTTGAAAATATACTTAAGATATGAGAATAACAAAATACCTCTATCTGAGAAGTGGTATAGATAAAGCCATCTCATTACCTATACCTGACTCATGAATTGAGCTGAAGTAGTGACAGTGATACATTATCCAAGCAGCACCATAAGTCTATAAACACACAAACACCTGGAAATAGGGCAGATGAACTAGAAGTCAGAATATACATAAATTCGAATCATCTATAGTCTCAGTGACAAAATATATTAAACCAAAATTAGTGATAATTTGATAGACCAAATAAATGCATGTAATCTCTCCTAGATTGAAATAAAAAACAGTTGACCCTTGAAGAATGTGTGTGTGTGTTGGCAGGGGGCAGGAAGAGGACACACTGACCCCCACCCTGGAGGTTGAAAATCCACTTGTAACTTTTGACTCCCTCCAAAATTAGCTACTAATAGCCTACTGTTGACCTTACCAACAACATAGGTAATTAACACATATTTTGTATGTTTTATATATATATTACATACTGTATTTTTATAATCAAGTAAGCTGAGAAAATGTTATTAAAATCATAAGGAAGAACAAGTACATTTACAGTACTATATTTATTGGGAAAAAAAGGATTCGATATGTGTATAAAGGGACCTGTGTTGTTCAAGGGTGAACTAGTGTACATCAAATGGTTAGCTATAGAAGAAGTCTTTAAAAACTAGAGTTGTGGTGAAATAATTTTCATTATTTGTTCACTGCATTATTCAAAAGTCCTAATTTGAAGGATTCTGTCTCTAGAGCTAACCTTCCACGGGAAGAAACTAATAGGGCTGATCCTAAAGTTAAATCAATGTATTTAAATAGTTCACTTCTAAATAATGACTACAAAGATCACAATTTGTATTTTCCTTATTTTTCAAATCCAGCAAATTAAGTTTTCTACACTGGTCTTTGATTTCACATAATAATTCTAATGAAAACAAGAAAATAATGTTGCTGAAGCAAAAGGCTGCTTTAATTGAGAAAGATGGTATGGTATTTCAAACTAAGGCTTAAGAAAATAGAAACTGTTTTAAGAAAAAAACTGATAATGTACACTACAGTTCTCTGGTAGTTAAAACACTGCAGGTTTTGTTTTATATTTGTTTATAATTTTGTACAATAAACATGTTAAGATGTATAAAAGTAAATTTTAAAAATGCTACATATAGATATAACAAGAAAATAACCTAAAATACTGTATATTCAATTTGTAGAACATTCACTATTGGCAGAAAATTTTCTGAAAGACTGTTCTTTGGTAAAATCGGACACTAATACATAGTTGACATTTGCATGTAAAAACATTTTAAATGTACAGGAAAGTGGCTAAAGAGAATATAGAATATGATTAGGAAAATGTTCCTTTTTCCATAAATGTGATTTAGGGGAATAGTTTGACCTTCTAGCAGTAAACTCTACATATTAAGTCAATAAAGTACACATACACTGATTATATTAAAAAGACTTCTGTTTCAATTTACATAACACATTGGAAAGATGAAAGAATTTAACAGAAAAGTTGAATTCAGTGTGAATTGGACAAGCAGAAACAGCTAAGCTTCCAATTCCTTGTCTAGCAAATGAGAATACCTGTATAACCCACCTACCTATATTTACAGCACCCAGAATCAAATGATATATAGATTGAAAGCTCTCTGAATTAGGTTTGCTGATCTACGGCCATTTTGGAGTTCAAAGGTAATCACCAAAGATAATAAAGTTAGGGGGTAAAAAGCAGCAGAGAATTCTCTTGAATAATAATCACCAAGATCTACTGTGAACCTTGTTCCTCTTGCTAATACCACCCATGCAAATACATACACATTCATGACTTTACAAATAAGATTTCCTATTTACAAATAGAAATACTAGTTGGACAAATGAGTTATAAAGTCATAAATAGCAAAACCAGCAACTGTGTATCATGTAACACCTTGAATCTAATAGATTAAGCTACTTTCTCAACCTATAGCCAACTTTTACATATGAGAAATTCCATACCAAAGCTACTGAACATACACTTAGAGGAATGTAGTTTGGCCTTCTGGCAGTAAAACTCTACATATTCAGATGACACTGCTGCCTTAAAAAATGTACTGCAGGTGCCAAGGTAGCCCAATAAAACGGAGACACACCTTACCAGTCCAGGGGCTGGCACTGAAAGATTAAGGCTGTTTACTGTTACTCACTTAGATAATGAAAAAAGTAAAAAGAAATTTCACCAGTAAGCTACCATCAAGAAATCAGAATTATGAAAATATCTAGCAGAGGTATTCTCAATCATTTGAGAAGCAAGACTAGATAAGGACTATATCTTTTAAAAGACCCAAAAATGTAAAAATGAGTATGAAACCTCACTGACCCTTAAAGTGGTCTACAGAAAAGTCAATTGGGATATATAAATAGAAAGTTGCTTAGAATAAAGAGTACAAGTTTTCATATCATACTCATAGGCTTCCTGCTCTAAGAGATGAGAAAAGCCAATGTATTTTTAAATTTTTTTATAAATAATTTTTAATTTTAAAATGTTGGTTGAGGGTTTGAGGGTAAGTCAAGGGTAAAGGGGACCAAATATATAGTAATGGAAAATAATTTGACTTTGGGTGGTGGGCACACAATGCAATATACAGATCATGTATCATAGAAATGTACACTTGAAACCTATATAATCTTATTAACCTAACCAATATCATCCCAATAAATCTAAGACTTAAAAAAAGTTGATTGAGATTATTCTGAAACATGATTTTAAGCACCAGACAGAACAAAGTAATGATGAGAAAATGTTTTAACAATAAAAGGTTTATATATATCAATAAGAGTGATCAACTTAGAGCCTAAAAATCCTGTCACATCTTTTCTTTACTCCCTAATTTGGCCTCGCACAGTCCTATTCTAGTCCTGTTCTGACCAGTAAAAAGTTTTGCTCACCTATTCTGAATGAGGTTCAAAAACACAAAGAACACAATAATAAATTTAGCTAATATTTTATACATAAGAAAAATGAATAGAGACACACATCCTCTTATTCCATTCTTCCAGAGCCAGCAACCCACTGGCTTTAGAAATATTCTTGCTTACATTTGTAATTCACAGGATCCTTCTCTAGGCAGTAGTGCCGCATTATGTCTTTTGACATGGCACAGTAGCATGTTTCTCTGCATTATACAAAAGTACTTCTTGAACAACTAATGTATATACATTTAAGATATTTTTGGGACTACACAATACTATGCATTCTCTTAAAACAAAAAACAAAGGCCACTCTTAAGCAGAGTACGAAAAACCAAACAATTGCACAAGAGTTGATATAAATGATTACAAAATATATTTTTATTTGAACTAAGAAAAACATGCATTTTATAGACTGAGTTTCTCTTTGAATTCTTAGTACTTATGGTTTGCCAACTAGTATGTTGGAAGAATAAAGATGACTCATAATACAGAATTCTTCTGGTTCAATCTTCTAGTTCTTAAAAATTATCAGTACTTGCTTCTTAAAAGCTTAAGTTTCAAATGTGGTGAGTAACATTTAACTTCTAACCAGCAGGAATTGAGTAAAGTCTCCTTCCTCTTCACACAGAATGTAGTGTAAGTTAACTAAACTATAAAACTTCATTTTAAAAAGCATTCTGAAATCAACAATTTCGATACTTTAACTGAAACTTTCTACACATACCACCAAATGGCTATAATATACCTTTTATATATATTGAAAATTCTTACCCACCTCATTTACACAATCCTTTTGAGAGCAGCAGCAGCAATGAGAATTAACGATGAGAAACACTGAGCAAAAATCTGTCTTTGTAAAATCCATCAGAAAAGGCAAAATAGACTTGTTACAGTTAGAAGAAAATGAAGGTGAAAAACGGGTAAGATGTAAATTAACAGGGTAAATTAGCCCACAGCACAAGCAAGGCAGACATCAAAGTCAGACTGAAATATAATTTGTTTCACACTAGCCATGCTTCTCCAATTCTCAGATACGAATTTGCTTTTTTCAGCCAAAAGTCTTACTTATCCTAGACTAGCCCTTTAAACAAAACTACATTCTACACAGCCAGAAAACTGTTCTATTACTATTCTTCCTGCTTCTCCTCTAACAGCAACAGGTCCCTACACAAGCAAAATTAGATTTTTACTTGCTCAAAGCTCCACCCATTATGTCCACAAGTTCTGCCTCCTTGACATCAAAACCTACACTAGAAATCTATTTATCTAAACACTCCCTTCCCCCAATCATGTTGAAACTGCTTTTAAAAGAAAATGGGGATCGAGTTCAATGA